CGTTTTGAAAATAATGAAACAGAGGTTGCTCAAACATGCACAAATCAGTCTAAATATGGAGTTAATGTTAACTGAGAATCAGAAGCTGGACCACGCCTCAAGCTCCTCTCCAGCCAACCACAGCTTATCTCAACCACGCCTTCAGTTACCCAGAAGCCCTATTTATATGACCATCAAGACAACATCGTCTGTGACAGTTGAACCTCTCCCTCCCACCCTGTGCCTCTTGTCTGTTTTTCAGCCTAAAAACATCATCTTTAAGGAGGGGGGTTCTGAATCATTTTGGATTGGAGACGGAACCCTCACCCCGAGTCTTCCCCCAGCCATCGCTTCCATCCACCGTCAATAAATATCTTTACCGTATTCCATTCTTGTAACGTGGTCTTTACTAGTGAAACAACTTCGAGTGGATAACTATAACATGATTAAAAGGTCTAAAAAGTCTATTTTGCATAATAGGTCCACAGTCAGTCATCTGTCAGTTTAGTATGCATTGTTTATGTTCATGAAATTAGGATCGACAGCCATACTTATGTGTTTATAATAAGGATAAAATATGAAATCAAGAATTGTGATGAATCAGTATTAATTCATACACTGACAAACTTCCAGTCTGCTCCAGCGGCCTCTCCGCCTCAACAATCACTCACGCACACAAAACATGCAAGAAAGTGTCTTGCCAAAGGACACAATGGTAGTATGACATAGTTGAAGCCTGAACCGTACAGCCATAGAAATTCTCTCCACCCGACCACTGTCCCTTATTGTACTGCAAGATCAGGTATTATCTCAGGACACAACAAGGACTAATCCAGGACTAAGCCATGTCTAAATCCGGACTGAACCCGGATTAAACTGGTGCTGTCACACTGTGTTTGCCTTCATGGTACTGGGTTAGTGTCACATTTACCATGTATTCTGTTTTTACACTTAACAAATCCTACTTTATATCATATCACCTCAAAATCCTTGTCCCTCTTTATCATCCTTAAACTACATATGACACGTTTTATGTTTTTTTCTAACTATTCCTTGGTTTTGTGGCATAGTAACAGTAGTGAATATTTATCATAGTTTTATATCAGTTTTTGACAGTTTGTGGAAAAAAAAAAAAAAAGTTGAGAAGAAAAGTGCAAAAAGTGGCGCTGAATTATAAAACTGAATACCTGTTTAAATGCAAGGAACACATTTTTCTGACAGTTTAAACAGAGATTTCACATAATAAAAGTGTGATCTATTTTTATCTGGTGATGGAACAGAGCAATTTGAGTTTTTGGGATGAAGACAGATGAAAAAAGGGTTACTCAAACATGTCTCACAATTTCACAATAGTCAATTTTGCATAATATAAGACTTTTAATGAAATGAATAGTCCAATGCGTCATATTCACTTTAAGGTTGTTTGTGTTAGCTCTAGACGCAACCCCCTGAAATATCTCGGCCTTTGCCCAGGAATGCCCCCTCTGTGTGGGGCAGGGACCTTGGGCCACCCCTGGGTCCTGGATTATCACTTGGTCAAGGCCCGTTTGACCTTTATGTAACCCAACAGTGCATTGTGACATAGAGACCCCCGAATAGTGCGTTTGAGCTTGTTGTCCCTCACCACTTCTATTCTCAGATGTAATAATAGTCCCACATGAATCCTAGCACGGCTTTGAACCAAGTTTATCGACTGCCACTGCTGATCCTTTATGATCTAATTACAAAAGTGAAAACTACACTTGGAGATAAACTTACATGGTAACAACATTTTCTTGTAAGATTAAAAAAAGTTAAAATTATAGTAATTGTAATTATGTCTACACTAAAAATATATTATAGTGTTGCTTCCACATTTTTCCACAATTTTCATTCACTTTCACGTTTGCTCATACATCATTACATCATTAACACAAGTGAGTGTTTATTATACATTTTATAAAAATCATATAATCTGTATTTTTCATCATTTTTCATCAGATAGTATGTATGACTTTATAGTTTAATTAGTAAGTGAAAAATACAAAACTTTCCCACAAGATGAGGCTGTTATATTCAATAATCACAATATAATAGGTTGTTCAAAGTTTTGAAAAATCAGATACTAAAACGTCACATTCACAGGACAGAAATTAATTTTCCTGAATAGTTTTAGAATGATCTTGAGCTGTATTAGAAGTATAATAGTATAATAAGTAAGTAAGTAAGTTTTTTTTTGTTTTTTTTAAATATATGTAGCAAGTTTCACAGACATTTATCACAAAGACACTTTACACTTTACATTATCCAGTCACCAGTTGGTGATAAGCTACAGTTGCCCTGGGGCAGACTACTAACTGAAGCACGGCTGCCATGCCAGTCTGACCACCACCATCACTGCACATGCACACAACTCCTTCACACTAGGCAATGTGGGTGAAGTGTCTTGCCTAAGGACACAAAGGCAGTTCTTTTGGTATGGCCACATATAGACTAGTATACACCCACTATGGAACCTGCCTAGTGAGGGATATAATATAAAAAAGAAAGTACTATGATTTAATGTTGGAAAGGACATTATATTGTTTAAAGAAAGAGTGTTTTCATTATCATTATGGTATTAAAATTGTTGAGTATCGAGTCTAATGAAATTGAGTTTGAAATGTTTGTATTGTATGAAAACTACTTCACAGCCTAAGCAGTGCGCAGTAGATCCTTCACTTGTAATTTGTAAGAGTAAAAACGGTCCGTCCTACGCACCTGTCTGTAACATGTTACCCACAAGAATAAAGACAAGGGAACAGTAATTATGTCTGAAAACATCTTATTTTAGACACCAGGAAGCTAGGAAATTGTATAATTTAACCAAATTTGTTTTTGTTACATCAGATTACTGCAAAACACATTCCCAGATTGGATTGCAAATATTTGGTTAGTGTTGCAGTATAGCTTACCAAATTTAATTTTGTTAGAAGAGAATACAATCCATTAGGCAGAAAGCTGGAGGTCTGATTCCTGCTTCCCTTACCCTTAGGCAATACCTACCTTTTCTGCACGCCTCAGTGAACATGTTATTGCTCAGCCTAGAATTTTTAACAATATAGTTGTGACTTTATTTATCTCCATGGAAACAAGCAAGTGGCACCATCAGGACAAGGTCAGATCAGCGAAGAGGCAAGTCCACTCACTGTCAAAGGGCATGTTTGAAAAAAAAAAAGTTAGATGGATATGTTTAATTCCATACAGTGTGGAACTTCGGTGGCAAAGAAATAACATCTCCATGGAGACAAGTACCTCCCACCCGAAAAGTTACACAGTGTAGCTTTAATATACAAGACCATATTGTTGTTACAGAGAGTTGATACCCAAATAAAATGCACTGAAAATATATTTACATGTTTAAATATTTGACATGACCCAAAGTTGAGACTTGTAGTAAATTAAGATGGCAGCAGAGACACATTATATAAAGTTTGACAGTAACCATGGCGACGCTCCATTGAGAAAGCATCAACCAGCTGTCAGAAAACATGCAGAAATCATACATCAAAAATCATTTCCCCTCCTGTTTATCAGCTCTTTTCAAACCTCTTGCTCGGATTTGTAATTAGTCTCCACTGTTGGCCTGTTGCATTTAAGGACATTTGATTGACAGTCTCTGAAAAGAACCGCCCCAGGGAATCGCGGGAAATAAGATGTCAGACATTTTTTTATCTTGTGCCCCCCGGAGCTGTTTCTCATTTTTCAAATACGCCCTAAGTCATGTACTGGTGATATTTTAGGCACATGTATCGGTTATTGTCAATTACTGGATTGTCTTGGTTTCATGACGGTGAAATCCACAATCGTCCGACAAAAGCATTCTTAAAGGTGCACTATGTTACATTTTGGTTTGCTTGTTTCTGTGATATGCCATTGCTCTGCTGGGAATGTTCCACAGTATGACATTAAACAGCTCTGTCTTATATTTATTCAATTGCAGGTGGTTTTATAGCTGAAAAATACCTAGAAAAACAACTTCTGACTGTGAGCGAGGTTGTCTCTCCACAGATCTGACCTGTAACTTGATTTGGTTTGGTCCATCAGAAAAGTTACACGATGCACCTTTACTTCTACCGGGTATTAATTGCTAACACATTGTTCTGAAAATGCTGTATTCGCCGAAAACAACGTATTAACATGTTTTTTTAAGTTTCAGTTATAAAACACTGACTGACAATCTCTGAAAAGAAACACCCCAGGGGATCATGGGAAATAAGATGTGGATGCAGTTAGTTATTATAGACTCAGTGTGGGAGCGTGGGCCTGCATATACATCAATGTTAGTTTAGCATGGGGATTTCAATGCATTTTTTGTCTATTGTGGGATTAATAAAGTTTTTATTTTTTTCTTATCTAAACAGCTATACAGTCAGGTCATTAAAACAGACTTGAAATGAGCAAATGGTCATTATAGAAAGAGGGTATTTTTGATATCTGAGATTATTGTGCAGCAAACTCATCTTTAAAGTAAGCTATAAGAAACATTTGACATCAAAACACTAGAAAATAGTAAATGTAGTAAATATCTGTCATATTTGTGTATTTGTATATGTGTTTATTTGTAATTTATAGATACATTTATGTATATTTTTAATTCATTTTAACATTTTATAAGACAAAAAAAGACAAATCAAAACCATATGCTATTTTCTGATCCATGTTATAATGTTGTTTCCTCATTAAAAACATCTTTGTTTCATTTACACTTTTAACGCACAAACCCTGCATATGATTGTGTTTTGTTTCATTCACACAAACTGAAACATGTGTGAATAAAACAAAACACAACTCTGGGTATGTTTTTTCATGAGGTAAACATGGCTATATAACATGGGTAAATGCTCACAAGAGTCCATTTTGTATCAGGACCTTCAAAGAAGCAAAACATTCCAATTGATTTTATGTGTTCTATTTCTGTATTTGAAATTGAATAGTTTAAGTTAAGATTTCTTAACTTACAAGCTGGCCTTTTTGCATAAATGTGTAAATGTGTGTTTTAGGCGGCGTGTGTCCCTGTGTTGCTAAGTAACGGTTGGGAGCTGCCCTTCTCTGATGTGATCCAGTGGAACCAGGCCGTGCTGGAGGGAGACGAGAGGCTCCTGCTGCAGGTCAGCTCATTTGACCATATTAACTATAGGGCATCCACTTTAATGTGCTTTTTATTTCCTCTAAGCTCTGCCTTATCCTTTCCTGCATAAACAATTGGGCCTTAATTTAAGTTATCTATTGATTTTTATTCAGAATTAACACAAACAATGCAACACAGACAAAACAAACATTCATTTTTGATAGTAAAAAGTATTTTGAAGAATATTGAATGACAATAAGACTCTGGTGGTTTTCAGATTCTAGAATGTGATGATGTCTCCCAGAAGAGACCGTTTCCCTTGCTGATAATATTGTACTTTGCATGAAATATCCAAAAGGTAAATGTGCAAATGTTTAACCTGATTATTTCTTTTTCTGACTAGATGCACTGTACTGGAACAAAAATCAGCATTTTAAAGAAGACATATTATTTGTGTCTGTTTGTTAGAATATATGAGACCCGTGGATCATTATGTTAGAATGTGGACATTTTAATTTTAAATCACAATATTCTAAATATTCTAAAATGTCTGAATAAAAAAACACATCCTCTGACTGTAAGCATCATCACAACAAAGAGTCGTGAAGTTGTATGGACTTCTGATGGATAGCTACATATCACACTAGTGAGCAGAAGATTTTTATTTTTTTAATTTGTAGTAGAACAACTATGTGATGCTGCTGAATCCTACATGTATCAGCAAGTAAGAAAACAAAATTGGAGAATTAAAAATAAAAATAAAAAATAAACCCCTTAGTCTTTTCAGCAGGTCTTACACAATAATGAAAAATACTTTTTAGTCTAGTTCAAAGATGTAGTGGGGTAGAAAGTACAGAGGCCTTCTCTCAAATGTAGTTAAGTTAAAGTAAAAAGTATCCGCTTTAAAATGTTCTTAAATAAGGTACAGATACACAGATACCTAAAATCTACACTGAAGTACTGTACTTTACTACTTTTACTTCATTATGTTCCAACACTGTTGCTATGGCAACAGTCCTAATCTTTCATTACTCTGAAACGCATGGATTGACCAGTCCAAGAATAGCCGTGTTGTCCTCATTACCGTGTATTATCCTCATATATGTAGTAAGTGACAGTGCACACGCTCCAGTACAAAGCATTATGGTATTACCTGTATCAAAGCGCACCTGTACAAGCCGCCAGGCTCACGATTAAACTACACAGAGCTGTAATCCAGTCGGGTTTAAAGCATGAGTCCTCTGATCTCCTCTGTCTATCATACAAAGGTTTCACAAAAGGAAAGCAGGGCCACTGGACATTGGTGAATGGAATCACCTTTATCTTCATACACTCTCACCAAATGTTGGGTTTTATGCCATCACACCATTCAATAGGCCACTTATATTTAAAGGGCCCATATTATGCTATTTTCTGATCTATGTTATAATGTTGTTTCCTCTTAAAAAAAATACACAGTTGGGTTTTGGTTTATTCATACGTTTAACATATACACACTGCATATTTAGGGAATATTAGAGGAGTTCTTCTCTCAAACTGAAAACACTCTGTTCCATCTTGTGATGTCATATGGCAGTACAGGAAGAGCTCCACTGTATTTTTAAACTCCATACACCTTCAGTAGAATTTTTGGATTATTTCAGATTTGGAATTGCCCATCTCTACTGAACAAAAGGTAAAAGGTAGTTGTTAACTTGAAAACTACCCCTTTGTGATATCACAAGGTGGAACAGAGCATTTTGAGCTTTAGAGATAAAGAATACTTATAAATCAAACACAACTTCAGGTATGTTTTTGATGAAGTGACAGCATTCTAACACGGCTAAAAGCTCACAAGAGTCATTTTTGCGTAATATAGGATCTTTGATTCAGATGGGGGCAGCTAAAATGTATATTGTTTTAAAGGAGGTTTCTGTTGCAACATCACAGGTTTTAGGATCTAAACACCAATAAAAATGATCACGTTCAATATTTGTGAATTTATCCATTGTATGTTTAAAATTTTCATTTCTGTGCTTTACTGAGGGCTCTCACTGTCAGCTCAGTCCTTGTTATACCCTGCTTCATGAGAGATATAATACTCCCTACAACAGAAGCATAACCAATCTGGACTAGATTGGAATAGACAACACTATCACATTGTCTTGAGAGTTCATGTCTCTGGGTGTACATAAACTCCAGCGTCAGGCCTTTTCTCTTCAACTCTCAAGATACTCAAATTTTACATATTTCATGGCAAAGTACAATATTATTACAAAAAAAAAATATCTGTCTCTTGCCCCCATCTGGGAGTATGACATCCCCACATTCTAGAATCTGAAAGGGGATCAGTAGATGTTTTGAGAAATAAATATTGAAATACATTTTTATTTGTTCATAATAAATTGAAACTTGTGAATAATCAAGAAATCAGGAAATATTCAAAAACCTATTGAAATAATGATACACTGACCCTCGTATAGTTCACTAATGATGTGTTTCTTGAATTAAAATTGTGTCAAGGTCATGTACAATTGCTACTATTCTACTATAACCCATAATCTTGTATATAGACTGTAATCTCATGGAGGAATCACTGCAATACAAAGAAATGTCTAAAAATTTGTCACTTCACCATTATAGTTCAATTATCATCAAGGCCAAGGTGAAGAGGCTGAAGTGAATAGACTTAGAGCGTGCATGAAGTGTCTTTGATGAGTACGAACACAAGCTGCAGATTAAAAAAAACGCCATCTTAAGTGTTTTTAAGTTCCTTCCATTAGAAAATCAGTATTAAAGCTCTAATAGACTGCTCCTTCAGCGAGTCAGCCACTGTGGAGAGTCACTTCAAATCCTGCTCCACTAATTAAGATCCATTATCTGAGGCTAAAGCTGCTCTGTGCTGCGAACTTATGAGGAAACTTTGTACTTTAACTCTACCACCCAGGAAAAGTGGGATTTCTGTATGCACCTTGATCCTTTATTATGATCTAAATTTGGCATTGAGAATCAATTAAGGCTGAACAATTTGGATTTTTTTCTTTTTTCTGTTTTGAAAGCATTATGATTGTGATTAAATTCGTGGTTTAATAGTAGAATTCTATTTAAAGGTCCTATAATATGCAAAATTGACTCTTGTGAGATTAAAACCATATTGGAATGCTGTTACCTCATCAAAAACATACTTACATACATATTTTGTTTTATTCACTCATGTTAAAGTAATCCTTTTTAGTCTGTCTACATCTTCAAAGCTCACATGAAGCGGTAGTTCTCAACTTTTACCTTTAGTTCAGTAGAGATTGGCAGTTCCATGGATGAAATAATCTAAATTATTCTAGTGAAAGTGTATGGAGTTTAAAAACAGTGGAGCATTAAAGTGTTTTCTGTTGGAGATAAAAAATAAAAATAAAAAAAAACTCAGCCTAAATATGCAGGGTTTATGTGTTAAAAATGTGTGAATGAAACAAAGCACAACTCCAGGTATGTTAGTGATTAGGAAACAACATTATACAGATCAGAAAAAAAGCTATATAGAACCTTTAATAAACGCATTTTAAACGCATCCAGAAGAATTGACAAGAATTGACACTGAAATATGAACTAACTGACAGGCTGGGTTAGCAGTTTTTAATGTGGAACAAGACAAGATATTTTCTCATTTGTAGAGGAAATTTTGGTTCTTCAAAATGGCAGCAATTGTGTCCAGTCAAAATATGTTTTGAACTGATTCTGAGTAATATTGCATCCGAAATTAAATGAAACTAAATATTGTGTCCCTGATGCACTGAGGCTTGAATGTATGGTGTGTGTTGTATGTATTTGTTTTTGTTTTTCTTTTATTATTTATGTATTGTGCATGACCAGAGATGCCCTTTGGGATTAATAAAGTTGTTGATTGATTGATTGAAATTGGATTTAAAATTGTAGTATCATGATAACGCTGTATTGCAGAATAGAGCGCGTGTAGCCCAGCTCTATAATAACATGCAGTGCTTTGTTGTAATTGCAGGTGCCGTCCACCGTGCGCGCTGTGGGGAACGAGAGGATCTTGGCCCTGAGACAGAGGACGCAGATGTTGTGGGAGGCCTATTTCTCTTCTGTTGATAAGATAGTCCTAACTACACTCGAGGTGAGACCCTGAATTATACAGTTATACAGTTATAGCCTTGATTTTGGTAACAAGTTTTGTATTTCTGTTGTGGTGCTCTTAAAAGACTGACTGCCTTTGTGAACATGTTTTTGTGTTACTGTTGTGGCTCCTGTAAAAGACTTAAAGGTGCACTATGTAATTTTTCTATGAAGGGTCCGCCACCTGGTCTCCATGGAGATGTTATTGTTTTGCAGAGAATGTTTCATGGTGTGGCAGTAAATGTATCAAGCACATGATGTAATCAGACCAAGTTACAGGGTGCATGCTTTTCAGGGTTGTTTTTCAGCAATTAAAACACAATGTAATTCAATAAATACAATACAGTTATGTTATTTATTTAGTTAAAAGGACACTAAACACCAAAATCACTTTTTTTCTATTGATTCTAGCTGTGTAAATGGGTCTAAAATAGAAATGTATACCTATCCCTTGACTTATTTTGGTATTTTAGTTCATATTTGTTAAAACTACGGCCAGTATATTTGAATTTTCTTTGGTTTGGACTAACTGCCTCCAGTGAGTCAGATGCAGGTTATTGCATGACGAGCACAGCCACTAGAGTCTACGGGCGGAACAAGAGGAGCCCCTCTCAGCCCCGCCCCTACCTGGCACCGCTGGTCACTGCGATGTCCCGCCATGTCTGGAGAAAAGGGAAACGGCGTGATCCAAGCACAAATATCCAATGTCTGGAGCACACCGGTTTCGCACCATGTCACCCCACACCCGCTCTACCCAAAGCACTGGCCACCCGCTCCCCCAAACCTGCCCAGCACCTCTCGCTCTGGGGGATTTTTCAGATTTTGCTTAGGAACGGCATAAATCCTCAGGACAGTGTTTAATGGCTCTTTAAAGCAACATCACCATGGAGACAAACATGTGGCATATTCCCTCCATTAGAAAAGTTACATAGAGCATCTTTAAGGGAAACATAAAACTGGTAACATGCAACCAAACCTAATTTATTAAGTTTATCCAATATACCTACACATACATATACAGTACTTTGCATCTTGCATTCCCTGAAGGTGTGGTGCTCGCTGTAAGCACTGCTCTGTCTGAAGCTCAAGTACTCCAGTTAATTTGGGCTTTATTTGAACACAATCTGACCTGAAAGAATTGACTTAGATGGAATTACAACAGGTAAGCTGATTTGTACTGTTAAGCAAGTCCCTCTCAAATCAAATTACAATCACAAGTCAGTTAGGAAGTCTCACCTTTTTTGTTGAAACACCTAAACAGGACCATGAACACATTACCATAGAGATACATGTTTAACACCCCCAGCATGACATTACTGCAAAGCGTCAATAGTTACTGATAGTGTTTTCCTTTACCTTGAGACAACCATGAGTCAGACACAGGGTGTATGTTATATTTATGTTGCTTGCATGTTGTTTTTACACTGAATCCAAACCGACAAGTCATAACTCATATTTGCAGCTTAATAATATATGATCTTTATATATTACTCTACATTTGGGGATTTCTTTACAAGGCCGGTCGGATGTGAGGCCCTTTGAACACATCTCCCTAGACTTTTGACTACAGTTGGTGCAGCCATAGTAAAAGAGCTACCCCGTAATCATAGAGATAGGAGGGCGCATTGGCTCAGAAGATGTCGGGAGAGGAGCAGATGACAGGACCGGACCAAACCACAAAAACGTCCTGACAAAGATGGTGTTTACAGAGCAGTGTTGTTTTTGTAGCTGTTTTTACTTTGGCAAAAGCGAAACTGCCCATTCTGGACCATCCTGTTTGAGAAATGGCAGAAGGAAAGTGTTTAATTATATTTGAATTATGTTGCCTCAAGTTCCCAGAAAACCAGGAACAAGGTTTTGGTGAATAGAGTGAGTTTAAGGTCAGGGCATGGTAATATTTGTGTTCTGTAGACTTTGTTACATTAATTAATAATTCTAATTTAAGGTGATATTATTGTTAAAGGACCTATATTGCGCAAAATGGACTTGTGAGGTGTAAGTCATGTTGGAATTTTGGTAACTCCTCAAAAACATACCTGGAGTTGTGTTTTGTTTCATTCACACATGTTTGAGTAATCCTTTATTATTAGTCTCTCTACAGCTCCTTTTCCTATATTACCACATGACATCACAAGGTGTTTTCTGTTTGAGAGCGCCTAAATATTCAGGGTTTGTGTGTTAAACATGTGAATGAAAAACAAAACACAACTCCAGGTATGTTTTTGAGGAGTTACCAAAATTCCAACATGACTTACACCTCAGGAAACAACATTAAAACATAAATCAGAAAATAGCGTGGGCCTGTTAAGGTAAACTCTATTGTCCATGTAAAGAAATTTGTCCTCTGTATTTAACCCTGAAGTAAACCTGGACTAGACCAGGACTAAACGAGGACTAGAACAGGACCAAATCAAATCTACATCAAAACAAAAACTGGACTCAATCCAATATCAAACCAGGATGTATAAAATGTAAGTGTGAACAAGGCCTTCAAATCTGTGCTGAATCACTGGCACAGGAGTGGGCAATTATTTTTTCCATGGGGCCAAAAGAGAAACAGAAAATACTGTGGAGGACTGGGCCAAAATTTAACTCAGTTCTGCATAATATTAATTGTATTTCTTTATAAAAAGCAGTAAATAACATTGTTTTGACAAGTTGGTAAGACTGGTAAGAAAATCTGTTATGTAATGAAAAAGGGTGCCTTACAAAAATTGTCTTTTTAAAAAATACCTCTAAAATAAAAGTAATGCAGCTTTAGTCCACGCATGAGGTAAAACTAAAAAAATATGTTTATTTTGTAATTCCAAATGATCTTAAACAGGCTGGTCAGAGTCAACCAAAAAGCTGTATGTGTCCCAGGAATTGTACAATGCCCAGGTTTTCACTAGTATAAGATGGGCAACCGCAGTGCACCTGGAGGAACATTCTGAAGATGTACAGCTACTGTTTTTTATTTCATTCACACATGTTCATTCTTCTCCAAAGCTCAAAATACCTTGTGTCCACCTTGTGATGTCATGAAGCTGTAGTTTTCAAGTTAACAGCTACCTTTTACCTTTTGTTCTGTACAGATTGGCAATTATAGAGCTGAAATTATGCAAATGATTCTAGTGGTGTGAAGGTGTATGGTGTGTATTGCCACAGGACATCTCAAGTTGGAACAGTGTTTTTTGTTTGAGAGAAGAAATAAATATGCAGGATTTATGTGTTAAACATGTGTGAATGAAACAAAACACAGCTCCAGGAATGTTTGTGATGAGGAAACAACATTATAACCTGGATCAGAAAATAGCGTAATACAGTATGGGCCCAATACAGGTTAAGTTAGGTTTGTTTTGCAGATTTGAGAGGCAGGACCTACATTTCCCATTTCATTCATCCACATTATGTACAATAAACACATATAAAAACACAATTAGAAAATAAAGTGTTACAGCGCTCCAGTGCAGAATGGTTTGTTCCATAAACATTAGTTAAATTCATCCATCACGCTTGGCTAAAATTAACCAGGCTGGCGCCACCTAGTGCCTCCACTCAATTTCATTTCTCTCCAACAACTAGGTCAGGAATTGGAATACACTAGACGGTTCGCAAAAACCCCGGAAGTGCGAGTTCAGGCACCAGCCAATCAGCGAAGGGTGATATATTCAATGTTGTCAGTGATTCCCAAGATTGAGGATTTAAAGCCGGAACAAAGAGAATGTTTGGTGAATTTTATCAAGGGGAAAGACGTTATTGCCCTTCTTCCTACGAGATTTGGGAAACACTTAATATACCAGTTAACCCCGTTAGCGCCGCATTACATACGTCATCACCAGATAGCAGCGATTGTTTAAATGAAAAAAATACCTGCCTACCATCGAGCAAACGAATTCTAACACTTTGAGGTCAGACGGTTTCTATGAAGTAAACCCGGCTGATGAATCAGACTATTTACTTAATGGTGCACTGTGTCATTTTTCTAGTTTGTCTCCATGGAGATGTTATTTCTTTGCTTGTAAAGCTCCACGGCAAGGCATTAAATGTATGTCTCATTTTGCATTTATTTAATTAAGTGTTTTATTGCTCTAAAATACTTTGAAATACGTCTCTCAACTTCTCAGATTTGACCCGTGACTTCGCTTGGTCACTCTGCCTCCTTGTCTCCATGGAGATTAATACATACCATCCACCAGAAAAGTTACATAGTAGGGGTGTAACGATATCCAAGTCTCACGATACGATATCATCACGGTATGAACCTCACGGTAAAATATTTATTACCTACCGTCAAGTGAACGAATTTTAATGCTGCGAGGTCAGACGGTTTCTATGAATGATGGATCAGGCTAGGACTAAAATCACAATAAATATTAAATATATATAAAAACAAATGATTTTTCCAAGACAAACATACTAAAATTGATAGATAAATAGATTACAATGTATTCATAAGTACGATAGCAGCCTGAACGAAGCTCCTATTAAAACATACGATCATCTAGCTGGAGGATTTCTTTACTAGAATACCAGACACAGGGATAACATACATACTCTATACAGGAAATCACAAAATCGATGCCATTTATCCATTAAGCTATTAATCCATTAACCTACTGAAAAAATCTATAACTTGGTGTCAGACTATACAAAGTGCTCTGTAATGTGTTGTGTATGGGGCTGTATATTAATATTAAGTGTTCATTATGTTCTGGCTGTATCCATAGATTAGAGAATCAATGAAAAATTACAAGACAAGGGACCAAGTTTAAACAATTTAATTTACATAATGATTTTTTTCCTTCTCTCTATTGTCTCTTATTATTAGCGCAGACAACATTTGCGTCACATGAATACTGTTACGTGTATCTTTGCTTTCTCATCTTTCCTTTCGCTGGCGGTTAACATAACAAAGGTAGCCACTCATAAATAATTTACAGACATGAAACGCCACTCTTGACCTTCTACAAGCCATTTTGAGATGTATTTTTAGACGACTTGCGACTGAAGTTAAATAATATTGGAGTGTAAAGAAGCGCGTGCCTTAGGTTGGGCCTGGTCCGCGTTTTTCCCGGTCGGTGGCGGTCCCTGGTGGGTCGGCGTCGGTGGGATTGTGACTGGAGATAATAAAGCAGAGGTTGTGGAGGTTGGTGATAAGCTGCTTATATACATACAGGAGGGAGAAGGAGGGAGGGAGGGGGTAAAAAAAAAAAAAAAAAAGGAGGGTGAATGGGAGAAATTGGGAGAGGAAAGGAGCAAGAGGGGGAAGAGATAAAGAGAGACAAGGAGGAGGATGGGGAGAGACATAAAGAGAGAGAGGAGGAGGATGGGGAGGGAGATAAAGGGAGAGAGTGCGAGTGGAGAGGGAGGGATGGAGAGAGGAGGAGACGGGGGATGGAGAGAGGGAGAGAGAAATAGGAGGGAGGAGGAGGATGGGGAGGAAGGGAGAGAGGGAGGGAGAAAGAGGGGGGAGAGATAGAAGGAGACGGTGAGAGTGGAGAGGGGTAGAGAGGGAGAAGGGAGGATTGAGAGAGGGGGAAAGAAAGAGGAGGGAGCAGGAGTGGGAGAGAAAGGGAGCGAGAGGGGGAAGAGATAAAGAGAGGAGGAGGAGGATGGGGAGGGAGATAAAGGGAGACAGTGTGAGTGGAGAGGGAGGAGAGAGAGGAGCATGAGGGGGACTGAGAGAGGGGGAGAGAAAGAGGAGAGAGGAGGAACAGGGGGGAGAAAGATGGAGAGAGGAGGAGACAAAGGAGAGAGAGCAGTGGAAGACAGTGGGAGAGGAAGGGAGAGAGAGATGGAGACAGAGGAAGAAGGAGAGATAAAAGGAGACGGCGAGAGTGGAGAGGGAGTGAGAAAGGGATAGAGAGGGAGAAGGAGGGAGAAAGGAGTAGAGAGGGAGAGCGAAAGAGAAGGGAGGATTGGGAGAAGGAGAGAAGAGGGAGAAAGATGGAGAGAGGGGGAGAGATGGAGACAGACTAGGAGGGAGAGATGAAAGGATGCGGTGAGAGTGGAGAGGGAGGAAGAAAGAGGGAGAGAGAGGAGGAGAGAAAGAGGAGAGAGGGGGAGAAAGATGGAGAGAGGAGGAGAGAGAGAGAGGGAGGAGGCGTGGGAGACAGTGGGAGAGGAGGAGAGAGGGGGGAGAGATGGAGACAGAGGAGGAGGGAGAGATAACAGGAGACGTGAGAGTGGAGAGGGAGGGAGAAAGGGGTAGAGAGGGAGAGAGAGAAGGGAGGCTTGAGAGAGAGAGAGGAGGGAGGAGGAATGGGAGACAGTGGGAGAGGAAAAGAGAGGGAGGGAGAGGAGAGGGAAGAAATAGAGAGAGGGAAGAAAGATAGAGAGAAGGATGGAGAGAGAGGAGGGGGAGAGAGGGGAAGAGATGGAGACAGGGAGACAGAAAAGGATGTAAAGGAGAGAGGAAAAGAGAAAAAGAGAGGAGCTGAAGAGGAGACAGCTGTGCGTTCAGGCTGTGGTCTGAGGGCAGGATGAGGCTGCCCCCTGCTGGTAGTGGGGATAAGCAACAGCAGATGGGAATAAAATGGCAAGCTTCTTAAATATTAAATGATTCAACTTTAGATTTCTTAATAAATTGCAAAATTGCTCCATACCTGAGCAACTTTACTGCTTTATCTCTCATAAAATTGTACTGTAAAAATAACAGAAATAGTAAATAGTTGTAATGACCTAAATTTCTATTGTTATCCACTTTGTAGATTAAGAAAAGTTGAAATATGGTTTATGTGTGTGTTATATGGGACTTTTTTTCATTTTTGAATAATCATTAAATCTGCAACTTGCACTAACCAAATAATAGGCCATATCATAAATGATTTTATAGACACACTGTAACTCGGTGGGGGTCAGGACTGGCACTGAACTGGGGGTCTAGAGGAGATTTTTAAATATTATTTGGAAATTATGACTCTATTTATTTTTATTTATTTATTTTATTTTAGTAAATTTCATTATAATTAGGTCAATGAACTGTAGCCTATATTAATTATACTGTCCGAATAAACAACATCAAACCCCCTGAGTCACACATTTTGGCACTTCGTTGTTTTTATTCTTGCTTTTGTCATTTTCTTTTACAATGTGGGTCTGGCCTGAAAAGTTTAGGACCTTCTGCCCTCTACTGTGAAAAACAAACAGAGATACTCTCCTAGTCAAACTTTTTTCTTCTTTATTTCGATGATTGTTTGCATTATAAATTCACTCTGAAGACATTAAAATTACAAATGGACACAGATGAAAAGATACACTCAAAATAACCATAACCAACTTAAAAATATGCCCCCTTTGCTTTGAATCTTGCTTTGCACTTTTGGCATTTCTTGGCCCTGACAAGGCCAACTTCATCTGGAAGCACATTGAGAGAAGGCCAAGTTTTTGCAGCACTGTTGAAAAGCAAAAACTCCTTTGAGGATTTGAATATAAAATAACAAAAAATATTTAGTTAACATTTTTTCTTTACTACGTAATTCCTTATATCTTGCATTGTATATCTGATGTCTTTGAAGCATTGTTGAAAAGTAAAGGGTGCCTATTTGCTACTTGCTACTTGGATTTGAATATAAAATACCATAATAATAAAAAAAAAGTTAACCTTTAGATTATGTAGTAAAGAATACTACTACTTAATTCCATTTATCTTGCATCATATATTTGATTTGATCTAAAATGTAGAAAGTACTAAATGTACAGAAACAAAAAAACATTCAATCAGAGGGTATGTCCAAACTTTTGACTGGTAGTGTAATAACAATTCCTGGAAACTTTTATTGTCTATATATGTCTGTTTTTATGAGAACTTTCAATCACCCTGCTAGTCCCAGTGCATCCGTGCCCCTCTGAACCACCGTGACTCATGATCCTCTGTGTTTCTGTGCTGTGCCTTTACAGATCATCAAGGACCGCGTTTTCTCTCACGTCTCGAGGAACAAATATATGTGGAACTCTTTACCCGGAGGTCTGTTTGTCCTGCCCGAATATTCAACTCACCTGGCTCACTTCCCCTTCTACTACCTGGGCCTGGGTAAGGAATGAAAACTCTGCATAAACTACTGCAAGATTAATCGCAATCGAATCAAAATCACAGTTTGAATGACGCAATTAGCAAAGGCGGACATTTTTAAGTACCGTAACTTAGTCCACAAACAACAGAATGCATATCTTGTGCATAAAAACAAACTAATCCTGCAGTTTAGCTCAGTACAAATGTTCTGAAATGTGATTCTAGTATTATTTTTTTCCGGTCATATATCAGATTTGTGAAGTTTGAACAGAATCTTGATATTAAAGGGCCTATATTAACCTATTTTCTGAAACTTGGATTAGTTTCGTGCTGTATTATGCTATTTTCTGATCTATTTTGTAATGTTGTTTCCTCATCACAAACGTACCTGGAGTTTTGCTTTTATTTCATTCACACATTTGAAGGTTGTATAGAAGATTTTTTAAGGAAAGAGAAATACAGCGACAGCCCTTTTTCAAATGTTGTGCATGCGTGACACCACCTTCCTCCTCCACAGCTCCCTCAGTAGAAACATCTCCTCCCGCCTCCTTACTCTAGAAATCACACTTGTTTACATCCAGTGCGTGTTCAGAATTACTGTTGAAGTGACCTGTCTAGAAATAATTTAGCGACACGTCAGTTTTTAGACCCTTTGTCTGCTTCATTTGCGCAATCGCTGGAAGGAATCTCCAAGAATCACCTCAGTTTGGCTTTGCTCCTTTTCTCCTTCTCTTCTTCTTTCAGCGACCTCAAAAACGGACTTTCTTTTGCGGCGAACTCGTCGTGGATTCTCGTGTGCCATCTCAAGAAACTTTGTGTGAACTGCGAGGAAACTACAGTTTAAAAAAGCCTCTAAGAACTGCTGCATAAACCACATAATCCCCGCGTGCTGGCGAGTCAGTTACACTAGAAACATAGGGAGTTTGATTGACAACCTAACAGCCAATAGAAAATGAGGTTGCCTTGTTATCTGTTGGCTGATGTTTATCTGGCCTCACTACGTCCACAGTTGATAGATTTTCATTCTTTTTTTTTTTTTGGTCATCATAATTACAAGGCTACTGCATCTCTGTAAAGGTATTTTAAACTTTCATTGACAATTTGAAACAAAAAATAATAATCCTCCATACAACCTGTAATACACAAACTACATATTTAGGTCTTTCTCTTAAACAGAAAATCCACTGTTCCACCTTATGATGTCATGTGATGATACAGGAAGGGCTCCACTGTGTTTGCTGATTTTTTACTTACAAAAAGGTAAAAAGAAGCTGTTAACTTGAAAACTACTAGTTTATGATATCACAATGTGGAACAGAGCATTTTGAGAAGAGAGATTAATGATAAAAATTACTGAAACATGTGTGAATGAAACAAAACACAATTCCAGGTATGTTTTTGATGAGGTAACAACATTATAACATGGCTCAAAGCTCACAAGAATCTAGTTTGTGTAATATAAGATCTTTAAAACATAAATTACAAAACCACCATTGCAATGTTATCCGAAAATTCCCAAGTGGATATTTTTCCCGAATCGCTCCACCCCGACACAAAGTAAACAACAAAATGTGCACAAACTTATTCAAATCAATGCCTCCTGTTAGCAAATCGTGATTGCGTGTTTAAAGCGTCGAAAGGCAGTGTATTGAGAGAGCGGAGGAGGCAGACGCCGTAATCAAAGGTGCTTGAGACATAATGAAGTATTTACATGAGTGGGTGGAAGTCTGAGGGCCTTTCACTGGTTTATTTAGCAGCCATTTTAAGTCTGTTTTACTTGTGTTTGGAATGTTAATGATGTGAAACGGTTATGAGAAAATAGAACTTACTTGGACGGGCAGACATGAGGGACAATGCTGCAAAGTTGAAATTGTATGAAACATGAAAAGAAAAGCTACAAGAAGAATTTATTTTATTTTATCCAATGAAATTATTGCCTAATCATAATATAATAATAATAATAATAATAATAATAATAATATTTGTGCCTATTGCTACGCTCATGTGGTTCTTGGAAACTCGGGGTTCCAACTTGCTTGCATTCATGTGCTTTTGTCTCAGAAAGTCTGGACAGTGCCTCCACTCAATTTCATTTCTCTCCAGCGACTACGTCAGGAATCAAAATACACTAGACGGTTTGCAAACACCCCGGAAGTGCAAGTTCGGGCACCAGCCAATCAGGAAAGAGCCATACATTCTGTGTTGGCAACGATTCCTGAGATCAAGGATCTAAAACCGGAACAAAGAGAATGTTTGGTGTATTTTATCAAGGGGAAAGACGTTATTACCCTACTTCCTACAGGATTTTGGCAAAAGCTCAATATACCAGTTAGCCCTTATTACATAGCGCCGCATTACATACGTGACTACCAAACAGCAGTCCATCCAAAATCCAAAATCCAAAATACCAAATACCTTTGAGCGAACGAATTCTAACACTGAGAGGTCAGACGGTTTGTACGAAGTGAAACGAAGTAAAACCGGCAAATAAATCAGGCTAGGATTTTGACGTCACCAATAATAAAATCACTCAATCCACTCATTAACAGTATTTAATAGAGTTAATCAGTAAGATTTCTTGTTGATATTCTTCTTAAAAGTTTAATATAATGGTTTAAGTTTACTTAAGCAACACTAATGTTACATCTGCATTTATTTAAACAATCATGCCGAGTCTTTCTGCAAAACTGTTGCTTTTATGAAATGGACAACTGACTGTAAACCCCTGAGTATAATTATGTTTAGTCAAAGAGTTAGATAAATAGACAAATTAGCTTAATTTTAGTCCATCTCATTCTCCACACAGCAGGTGATGTCAGGTGTGGAAGTCAGGCTGCATGTTTCGTGAGTTGTTTTTCCAAGTTGTTTTTCTGACTTGTGTGAGCGTTCTTGTGCATTTTTCAACCCAAGTTCCCGAGGGCCACGTGAACGCAGCAAATGTCTAACATGAAATATGTCTTGGTCCATTGTCTGCTACAGTTTATATTGTAGAAAAGATGCATCACATTTGGTTGCAAATAGGGTGACACATATACTATCATTATGCTGTAGTCCAATCTATCTGTATTTTTCTATTTGAGTTATAGTATTATCAACAGGCCTATTGTTTCCTGATGCTATCTCGGATCATTTTTGATCTACATGATTTCGTTGTATAGTTTGCATGAATACCTTGTGTGTAACTTGTATGTTTTGTTGTTTTGTCCAGGAGTGAGCCCGGGTCAGGAGTTCACTGCAGTGATCCACGCTGTCTCTCCTCTGGTTTCTCAGTCTCAGCCAATCATGAAGCTGCTGCAGGTCGTCTCCAAGTCCAAGTACTGCTCCCAGGTAACATGATATACGTACAGGTCCTGCTACATTATATATAAATACTACAAATGCAGAACTAATGTATCTCAGACTGTATCAGATCTGTGGAGAGGTGAATGCACTCACAGTAAGAATGCGTATTTGTCAAGGTATTTTTGAGCACTAAATTGCCCTGCTATGGAACATTTAAAAGAGGGGGTATTTTACTTCTATGGGGTATTAACTGTGCAGGCTGAGCATTGCACAGAATGTTACCACTAACTGTAAGGAGAGCTCAAATAGGACCTCAGAGAGTTGACTAAAATACTCAAATGTGCATGGATGACTTCTAAAACCTCTTTAGGCAGATTTTAGAGGAGGGAACATTATAACATGGTAGAAAGCTAAATAATTTTGCATAATGCCCCCTCATTATGAAGACAAGCACAGAGACAAGCAGGTGGCCAGAAAGGTTGCGCCGTGTACCTTTAAAAAACATACATAATGAATGTGTTTGTGTGTTTTCAGATCATCATTTTGTGGAACAGTGAGAAGCCTCCTCCCAGTCGCAGTAAATGGCCCCCAATGCCAGTGCCCCTCACAGTGACAGACGGACGCAGGAAGGTAAGACTTTAGGCTGGGTATCATTCAGAAGCTGCCAATACGATATATACCTCAATACACAGGCCACGGTACAATACATGTCTCAATACAGTGATACGATACAATTCAGTACTGTATATTTCAAATTGATTCGATACAGTTAAATTCTTCGTACGTGTTGTGAAAAGTTCATGAAATCCAAACAATTTATTCCTCAAAATGTCAAAATGTCAAATGTGTTTCATAAATGAGTTTCCTTTCTCTAAACAAGCAACAAAACTGTAGCACCAAAACAAAATAATTTGTGAAATATACCAAAAAATACTATTGATACAGTAGCCTACGATATTGATACTGTATCATCACATTAAATTATATGATATATTCATATTTTAATATTTTTGCACAGCCCTATAAGATATGCACTTTAACACCAATACACACAAGTAGTATGAGTTATAACCCTAAAAGATGAATGGAAGAATGCATAGGTCCAAAGAGAAGGATGAAATTCAGTCAACTAGAAGTACTGTATAAGTATTGAGTAGATGTAAAGTAAAACTAGAAATTTTACTTTCTTCATAATCTATCTATCCAGCCATCCATCCATCTATCCATCCATCGATGTATCTATTCATCTATCCGTCTATCCATTCTTCCATTTATCCATTTATCTATTTGAACCTCCTTTTCCCTAAATGCAGTATATACCAAACACAAGTGCATTTTCACAACAGAAGAAACAGAAGAGTAGATTGTAAAAATACAATATATGAAAAGTACTTATAAAGTGTAAGTGTTTACTTCAGCATAAAAAATAAATGGACTCGTGTGTTTCCTTGACAGTGAAAGTGAAAGTAAAATAGATATATTGGTGCATAAATGTGTACAAAATGAAAATACACAAAAATATAAAATTCGTTTTCATAAAAAGAATTATCAATCTACATTAGGGTTATCAAATATTGATAATCAGATGCTAAATGATACTGATACTAATATTAATATGATACTAATACTAATACTGAAAGAAGATACTCATTTGAGCAGGTATCAATACTTTTTAAAAATCAAAGATCCAATTTTAGCTTTCCTGAAAATTATCTGGGTAATTTTAAGCTCTATTAGAACAAGTATAAGACCTGATAACATAAAAAAGTACTATTATTATTTTGTGTATGAAAATTACATAGTATTACTAAAAAGGGAAAGTTTGAAATTTTAGCACCGTGACAACACTAGTGTACATTTCTCTGTGTAGTTCCACTCTTGTTCATCAGCGTGTTCACTCACCCGTAATGACGCCTCTTTCCTAAATGTCCCTGTATCTTGTATCCTCTGCTTCCTCCTGCATTTTCTGCTTTTGTTTTTTTTCTCGAGGCTAAAATCTTTAGAGATGCACTTACCTCAGTCACTCAGCCTGATTTAAACTGTAACATGATCATCTCTCACTCACTCAACACAATCTGCTCCAGACAAGACAGACGCACGGAAAACCTTTATTCAATCTGAAATGACTCAGGAAATGCAAGAGTGGAAGTGGAAGTGGAAGTACGCCCTTTAAGTAGTAATAACGTTAAACTATATATCAAATCAGGAAGCTGCTGATCATTGCTAATGCTTCTATCACCATTATTCGTTGCTTTTAAAGGTTACATTACAGGGCCCATATTACACTGTTTTCTGATCTGTTATAATGTTGTTTCCACATCCAAAACATACCCGAAGTTGTGTTTTGTTTCATTCGCACGTTTAACTCACAAAGCTTGCATATTTAGTCGTTTTTTTCTCTCAAACAGAAAGCACGCAGTTCTACCTTGTGAGGTCATACAGTAATACAGGAAGTGCTTCACTGTGTTTTTTCAGGCCTGGAATTAAATTAAACTAAAAGTAAAAGGAGCTGTTAACTTGAAGACTACTGCTTTGTGACATCACAACGTGGAGCAAAGTATTTTGAGCTTTGGAGATGTAGGCAGACTAATAAACTAGGATTACTCAAACATGGGAAAATGAAACAAAACACAACTCCAGGTATGTTTTTGAGGAAGTAACAACATTCTAACATGCTCACAAGAATCCATTTTGTGTAATATACAACCTATAAATTAAATGTTAAAAATTAAAGAGAAATTTATAGAAATGTATAAAGCGTGTGTAGTTACTGCTAGCCTGATTCATCAGCCGGTTTCACTTCGTTGGAACCTGTCTGATCTCACAGCGTTAGAATTTTATCACTTGATGGTACGCGGGTACTTTTTTTCATTTAACCAATCGCTGCTATTTCGTCGTGACGTATGTAATGCGCCGCTAATGGGGCTAACTGGTATATTAAGGTATATTAGGAAGGAGGGCAATAACGTCTTTCTCCTTGATAAAATTCACCAAACATTCTCTTTGTTCCAGCTTTAAATCCTCGATCTCGGGAATTGTTGACAACACTGAATGTACGGCTCTTTGCTGATTGGCTGGTGCCCGAACTTGCAATTCTGGGGTTCTTGGAAACCCTCTAGTGTATTCTGATTCTTGACCTAGTCGCTGGAGAGAAATGAAATTGAGCAGATGCACTAGGTGGCACAAGTGAATGCTGTAGAAATACACAAATTTCCAAATACATGCAGTAGTCTTAAATAATTTTGTGCATTATTTTTTTCATTCCATACTCAGGGGTGGTAAGCCACAGCTGCCCTGAGGTAGGCTGACAGAAGAGAGTCTGTCAATCTGCACCACTGGAACTTCAGACCACCACCAACACTCACATACGCAACACTTTCATACAATGTGGGTGAAGTGTCTTGCCTAAGGACACAACAGATTTTGCTACTCGTGCCCCACTGTGGCACCTTGTTTTTCCAGCTGTCTCCCATCTAAGTAAACAAGCCCACCCCTGTTTACTCTTTCACTTATAAGTACATGAGCCTAGCTACTCACTTGAATAATGTTTTAAGATAAAGTACTAACTATAAATTTCTATACATTTAAGAGTAATGTATCATTCTCTCTCTCTTTTCCTCAGACCACTAGTCGCTTCCTTCCTCACGTTTCCATAGAGACGGAGGCGGTGCTTAGCCTGGACGAGGACACAGTGCTGCTGACCAGTGAGGTATGTGTCCCTGATCGAAAGTTGAAATTATGGCAGTATGTATGCTACATATGTTAAGAACTGTATGTAATTTTGAACATCCATGAGTATTGAATATCAAAGCAGTCATGGAATATTTCAAAGATTCATAAGTCAAAGTGAAACTGTTATTTGTAGATAACATATGGCAGTTTCACCAGATTGAAGAAGAACATACAATACTTTTTAAAACTTTTTTTTCATAGTACATGACTAAATATTTCTATACTCTACAAGTCACATTTATTCTGAATACTTGCAGTTCTGGTTTAATCCTTCTTTAGTTGTGGTTCTTGTTAACCATGGGGTATTATCTGGCATAGTTCTGCTTTACTCCTATACTTTGTTACTCCTATATTTTACAGGTAATATCATCCAATAGTTCAGTTTGATCCTATAATATTCTTAGATCTTATGGTACCTGAACTTGACATGTGAATATGTGAATATTTCCAGGTGAACTTTGCTTTCCTGGTTTGGAGGAGTTTCCCAGAGAGGATTGTGGGATATCCCCCTCGGAGTCACTTCTGGGACCCAGTGAAAAGGGTTTGGGGCTACACCTCCAAATGGACCAATGACTATTCCATCGTCCTCACAGGAGCCGCCTTCTACCATCGGTAATAATGACAACATATTTTAATTGTATACAGGTTTTTAAGCCACACAAAGATGCAAAAACAATAGAAAAAACAATTTTAAAAAAATGCACCAAGTTATTGTCTTTTAAAGGCCCCACATTATGCTATTATCTGATCTATGTTATAATATGCTTTCTTTTCACAAACATACCTCGAGTTTTGTTTTATTCACACACATTTAACACACAAATCCTGCATGTCTAGGCTGTGTTTGTCTCTCAAAAAACACACTGTTCCACCTTAATGTCACGCAGTAAAACGGGAAGTGCTCCACTGTGTTTTTAAACTCCATATACCAGCCCTGGAATTGCAAATGTAAAAGGTTGTTGTTTATATGAAAACTACCACTACTCAAAAATATGTGAATGAAACAAAACACAACTTGAAGTATGTTTTTAAAGTGTACACTACATTATAACATGGCTAAAACCTAAAGCTCTATGGATGTAACAATAACCAAAATATCGTATCATCAAAAGTCTCACAATATCGACAGCTGTCACAATATATCGAATTATAAGTTCCTTTGCTTAAATACATGGTTTTATAGTAGCAACAGGTTATAAACATTGGGAACTACATATCCCATGATTCATTTCAGTGCAGACAACATGAAGAAATATGTTTTTTCCTTGAATTCTTGGGATTATGACGGTAATAATTCGCACCAAAATCTTGTCAAGGTTTTTTAAAAGCAAAAAAAGTGTCCTATCTACAACTATTTTAGCCTCTTCAAAATATTGCATTAAATATCATACCGTGAGCTTTGGATATTGTTACATCCCTATAAAGCTCACAATTTTGTGTAATATGAGACCTTTAATTACAATAACAGCAAAAAGTATGACAGAAAAGGAGACATTGCTGTAATAGCCCTACTCTAAAAATATGTTGACCTTTTTTAAATGTCATCTTTTTCAATTTAAATTTTTTAAGTATAACTAATTTTAGAACATCTTAAAGGTGAAATTATTGGCCTTGGCTCAACATTCAATATTCAAAAAATGATTAAATTTAAATAGGATCAACATTTCATTTTTGAGTGTTGTTTTGTGGGTCTATCTCACACTCTGTATACATAAATGGACATAGCTAACTTGCAAGTTGTCGCATTTCCAATAGGAAGTGAGTGGACGTGATTCCGGCTCCATCAACTCTGGCAGTAATTCACTTTCTATTGAAAAACTGTCATGCTTCTCTCTGTAACTGCTGCTGTCAGGCTCTTGAATTTGGTCTTAAAGTGTTTGCATTAACCTGCTCTACATGATCCTGATGTTTTTTGCTATTTTGTCTGTAAATGAAAATATGAACATTAATAACACTGATATTTGATTAACAGTGTTGCTAAGCGCATGCTCCTACCCTACAGTGCGGGCAGGAAGTGGTGCTACCTTCTACAGCCTCTCTCCGGATTGGCTCTTTGGTTGCTATGATACTCATGGTCAGATTTCCAAATATGGAACTCAGCCTCAAATTTGCCCTATAACTGCCAGCCTCTGTGAGCTTCATTTGACTGGAGCTGAACGCTGTAGGTGACATCACACTCACTGCTCACTTCTTTACACAGTCTATGGTCTACCTCTGCACCGGTCCTCCCTTGTCAATCTGTGCGTCAAAATTTCCATCTTAAAAATGACAATTCCCATCTAGCTGCTTTCCACGCCTCCCAAAGTCAAAAATGGCACAGACTATAATGCCTTTTTAATTGCAGCTAATTTCCTTTTCCCCCTAATTAACATCTATTCAAACTTAAACAAAGACAACTATTGGGTCAGTTGTAATCACTGAAAAGCCTTGCACTCATATTTTTTGGGCCTAATCCTGAAAAATGGGTAGTTTTAGGACCACAGGGAAAGAGTACTATAAATACCATACTTGCCCCAGATACATAACATCAACATAGTATATCTTTCTGTCTGCTCCTCTGTGGGCATAGGAGGAACAGCCCTTTTTGCCCCATTTGAAGTCACGTGATTTCTCAATATAGCACTAACTCAATACAGTGCGTCAAAATCTCCATCTTCAAAAATACAGTTTACATCTAACTACTTTTCACTACTCCCAAATTAGTCAAAAATAGCAGAAAATACAATGCCTTTTTAATTGCAGTTCATGTCTCATTTCCCATAATTAACATCTTAACATCAGTTGTAATCACAGAAACGCCTTGCACTCATATTTTTTGGGCCTAGAAGCCTTGGCAGTTTCTATGGGAATAGGAGGAACAGCCCATTTGCCCCCATTCGATGTCATGTGATTTCTCAATATAGCACTAACTCAATACAATATGATCAGATAAGATATTTACTGTCCAGAAGTATATACAAAGAGTAAGAGTATTCCAGAGTATTCAAAATTGTACTTAAAGATGCACTATGTAGTAGAGATGTAACAATAACCGAAATATCGTGATATCGTATTATCAAAGTTCTCAAAATAATGTCATGGACCATCACAATATATCGAAAAAGTCTCTTTGCTTAAATTAAGAGCTATGGTGCAACAATAGCTAAAAAAAAAAAAAGACATAGGGAACTACAAAGACCATGATCCTTTGCTCCATTTCAGTGTGGACTATAAGAAGAAATAACAGTTTTAAGCACTTTTAAGTCTTTGGATTAAGTCTTGTCAAGGCATTTTAAGTGGAAAAAGTAGCATATTAGCCTCCACAAAATATCACAATAAATATCGTACCGTGAGATGTATATCGTGAAAATATCATACTGAGAGATTTGGATATTGTTACATCCCTAATCATGAGCCTCCCCACCATATCGTGAGCGTTCCCACGATATCGCAATAAATATCGTACCGTGAGGTTCATACCATGATGATATCGTATCGTGATGATATCGTATCGTGAGACGTGGATATCGTTACACCCCTACTATGTAACTTTTCTGGTGGATGGCATGCATTAATCCTTGTGGAGACAAGGAGGTAGAGTGACCAAGCAAAGTCACAGGTCAGATCTGAGAGGCTGAGAGACGTATTTCAAGGTATTTTAGAGCAATAAAACAGTCTTAATTAAATAAATGCAAGATGAGACATGGAGCATTACAAGCATGGAGACAAACTACAAAAATTACCTAGTGTACCACTGAGTAAATAGCCTGATTCATCAGCCGGTTTTACTTCATAGAAACCATCTGACCTCGAAGTGTTAGAATTTGTTCGTCTTTCCCCTTGATGAAATACACCTAACATTTTCTTTATTATTATCTTTAAATCCTTGATCTCGGGAATTGTTGACAACACTGAATATATGGCTCTTCGCTGATTGGCTGGTGCCCAAATTTGCACTTGCAGGGTTTTTGTGAACCGTCTAGTGTATTTTGATTCCTGACCTAGTCGCTGGAGAGAAATTAAATTGAGCAGATGCACTAGGTGGCGCCAGCCTGGCTATTAAGTAAATGTGCAGTTATTTCAAATAATATTACGCAAGAAGAAGAGCATAGTGGTCCAAGAAATTACTCAAGAATAAAACAGTAACTGGCACTTGAGTAACTGCAAGATGTAACCTCATATTTTTTTTAATTTAAGGTTTTAATTGGAAGAACAAAACACAAATTTGATCAAACTAAATCGTATCTGAAGGAGTGGCGCAAGAAACACAAATGTTCAAAGCATTTAATATTCTCAGCGAAAAGTTTTTATCACTTCATCACTTTTATCACAGTGGAAGGAGTAACCAAAACTGTTATCCAACTAAGGGTTCTATTTAATTGTAGAATATAAGTAGGAGTAAAAATATGAGATGTAAATATGAGAAGTAAAATTGTATTAAAAAGTTACTGAAGTTAACTGAGTAGTAACCACCTCAGGCAATATCATCTGCTGTATTCAATCGGTATGGTAAGTTATTAATACTAGAAAAAATTACAAGCAATTTCAAAAGGTGTGTGAGCAAAATTTCTAAATTGTAATTGCATTCCTGAAAAGGTGATTTGAAGGAGGACCAAACCAAAGCCAAGTGTCTGGGGGGCTTGTTTCTCTGTTGTAGCAAAGTGGTTTCAATTAGCAGTACAAATGGTGTGATTAATGGACCCGAGTATTGTCATCTGTTGGGGGTAATTTAGCGAATAAAGAGCAGGCAAATGTTGCTTCAAGGTGCGCTGTGTAAAACATGGGAGAATAATACAGGTTTTTATTATTGTTGTAAATGATCTCATTTTATTTTTGGAAGAGAAAGTAGAGCAAAAACCAAAAGTCAATATTGAGAATAGTATTGAGAAAGCTCTGAAAGGTAACTAAAACTTTCTCCTGGTCTGGATCTATTTTTGCCCTGGTTTAGTTCTGATTTAGTCCTGGTTACATCCTGGCTTAGGCCTGGGTTAGCCCTGGTTTAGTCTTGGTTAAGTCCAGGTTAAGTCCTGGTTAAGTTCTAGTTTAGTCCTGATTTATTTCTGGTATAGTTCTCGTGTAGTCCTGGTTAAATCCTGGATTAATCCTTGTTTCAACCTGGTTTAGTCGTGGTTAACTCCTGTTTTATTCCTGGTTTAGTTCTGGTGTAGTCTTGGTTAAGTATTGGTTAAGTCTTGGTTAATCTTGGTTAACTCCTGGTTTAGTTCTAGTTTAGTCCTGTTGTAGTCTTGGTTTAGTCCTGGTTAAGTCCTGGTTTAGTTCTGGTGCGGTCTCAGTTAAGTCTTGGTTTAGTCCTGGTTTAATTGTGGTTTAGTCCTTGTTAAGTCCTGTTTAAGTCCTGGTTTAGTTCTGGTTTAGTCCCAGTTTAGTCCTGGTTTAGTTTTGGTGTAGTCTTGATTAAGTCTTGGTTTAGTTCTGATTAAGTCCTGGTTTAGTCCTGGTGTAGTTCTGGTTTAGTCATGGTTAAGTCTTGGTTAAATCTTGGTTTAGTCCTGGTTAAGTCCTGGTTTAGTTCTGGTGTAGTCTTGGGTAAGTCTTTGTTTAGTCCTGGCTAGGTCTTGGTTTAGTTCCGGTTTAGTCCTGGTTTAGTGCGCACTAATGCTGTTCTGTTCGGCTGCATCGGGTTTGTAAATGAAGCTCATCGAGGCTTTTTAAAACAGCTTTCTTTACACTGTTGTTTTTGTTTATTTTTTCCCCCCAATTTTTCATCCAGTCTTTAGGCAGTCACAATTGGCACCAAACCCATGAAGTGCCCTGCCAAAAGACACAATGGAAATAGGCATAGTTGGAAATCGTGATCGAACCATGGATCTATGGATTAAATGGACTGAATGGATGGATTGATAAACAAATCATTTCATGTGTCCACAGATATTACCATTTCCTGTTCTCTCACTACCTGCCCCAGTCGCTGCGCACCCTGGTGGACAGAACAGCGAACTGCGAGGACATCCTGATGAACTTCCTGGTGTCTGCTGTCACTCACCTGCCTCCGATCAAAGTGGCCCAAAGAAAACAATATAAGGAGCTGCCCATTCCTCAGGTATACTGGACTACACAATATTATTGCTCTAGGCCTCCTGTAGCTCTAGCATCCTACCCATAGTTTCACAATCCCTCTATTCCCTCCTAAATCTTCTCGCAAAGGAACTATTGCCTGAAGAACTACAATCACAACTGAACCTGGAATGGGCTGCCAATGCTTCACCTTGTATAGAGAAAACATGTTTTTTTCTCATTCAAAGTTAGGGATGCACTGATCCGATACTGGTATCAGATATCAGAACCAATACTGAAAATTTCGGTGTCCAAATATCGGTTCAACCAAAAGTCTTTTTTACCTAAATGTATAGGTTCAAACAGGATATTTACTGGTCATAGAGTGGCCAAAAAGTCTCACAATGTTTGAACTTTTATTTACAGAAAGTATTTGCAGTATTTGTTTGAGATGTAAATAACAGCTATATCACACATTTGAATCAGTTCTGTCTTTAATTTTTGTTTTATGGAAATAAATGCTGTTTTCAGTCGTTGTACTGGTATCAGTTAATAACGGGTATCGACAGGAGCTATTGTATCGGAATCTGTATCTGTATCTGAAAAAGATGGATCGGTGCATCCCTTTTCTAAGTACCATATTTTTCGGACTAAAAGTTGAGCTCCGGAGTATAAGTCGCACTAGCCAAAAAATGCATAATGAAGAAGAACATATAAGTCACACTGGACTATAAATCACACTTTTTGGGGGAAATTTATTTTATAAAGTCAGAGATCAAGAACTGACATTTCATCTTGAAAGACAAGTTATAGTAAAAACAAAAGAACAGAGAACCACAGACTGTTAACGTTACATATGAACAGTTATTGAGATAACTAGAGCATAAACAACAGAACAGAACAAGTTTACCAAACTCTCCATCTCACTCCAAATCACTAAATCCATTGAGTTCTTCATCCTCGATGTCACTTCTGAGTAACTCTGCAACCTGCAGAGGTAAACAGAGAGCCACTTCCTCTTCTGCGTAGCTGTCAACAGGCTCAGCATCAGTTCCAGTTAGAATTATTCTTACCTTTCTGAATCCCAGCAGGATGGTTTCGGTTGTCACTGAAGTCCAGGCTTTGTCGATCCATCCAGTGACAGGACAGTGGCTCTTTCTGCAGCCGAAATGTGCAGTAGAGCCAAGTGACAGTGGTAATGTGACAGTGACAGAAGTCATAGGAGTAGTAGATACTGACACACAAGACTAGAGCCTCTCGTGGCTGTCAGTATGAAAAATGTAATATATAAGTCGCACCGGAGTATAAGTCTCAGGACCACTCAAACATGAAAAAAGTGTGACTTATCGTCCGAAAAATACATGATATGGCCAGGCCATGTCTAATGGTAAAGCTCCGAACCTAAAGAATTCCCAAAACACTGATTAATGAGTTGCTGCAAGTGCAGAGAGGATTCAGATCAGAGAGTCCTTTTAGGTTTAAACAGGATTTCTATATAGATCTCAGAGCATCAAGAACAAATATGAAACTTGCTAAACATGTCAATCCATTGTTTTCTACAAATATAGCATTTTCAAAACAATAAAAGGTAATATGGTGTTAGCAGAAGTAAAATACCCGCTCTTTAATATATCTTGTGTATAATTTGACATGTTTAAACTTAGAACGTTTATTATATCTTGTTTGTCTCTCTTTAGGGCACCAAAAGTGTCCCGTGGGCCAACCCTGAACACTTTAACCAGCGTCAGGAGTGTGTGAACTCATTTGCCAGCTGGTTTGGCTACATGCCGCTGGTCCACTCTCAGTTTCGTCTGGACCCAGTGCTTTTCAAAGACCAAGTATCTGTCCTCCGAAAGAAATACAAAGATCTGGAGAAGGCGTGAAAACTCGAGAACAGCGCCCCCTATAGTTTAGAGGCCTTCTGTTGCCCTGATTTTGACAGTGAACTGCGTTGTGTTGTGCAGGAGACAGACCCTGGCGGACTGTTCTGAACTAAAGCATACCACGAAGCTTTGAATGATTCTTCGAACTCCACAAAGAGAACAGTGGATATTTTGGGACCCTTAAATTGGGTGTTTGATTGTGAAAAGGTGCATTTCTATTGAGCAAGAGGAAAATGGGAAACTCTAAAATGAAAGCTACTGCAGTGACAATACCAGGGGTGTTTTGTGACTGTAACCATGGAAACAGGCCAGTTCAAAATGATCAAAGTGTAAAATGAATAAAAGTTTATAAAAGCAAAAATGTGTCTTTCTTTGGAGCGGGCAAATGTTTACAGATGTAGCAAAATACAATGAACTGTCCAGTTTTATACTACAATGGGTTCTTTTACATTGAACATATGTTATTAGGACTGTCTGGGGTTGTTCTACATGCATCTCTATGGTAGAACTTTTAGCAGTGAATGGAGAGACAATGCACACATGAGCAAACACTGTCTAAAAGTTAATTGAAAGTTGATAAGATTGTCTGAAAGCTCAAAGAAAAACACAAAATGGATTTAAACAACACATTTTCAGGAGCCTATGAGCAATACAAGGAATGATACAAGCATTAGGTGTTTGATTTTCAATTAAAAAGGTGAGAATGAAAACTAATGGCTAATGTGAGCAACAATTCAGTAATATAATTTTTCTAACTCTCTGAGGGCCCTATTTTTTAATCTTACTGAATGCAGCACTACCACACACAGCTTGGTCACTTTTACACTTTTTCATATTTGAGACTAACCCTGAATTTACACCAGGAGCGTCAGCAGCACGTAACGTCAGCAGAGCAGTATATGTGTATACTTTTAAAAGATTCAATTTACACTAGAGGCAGCAGAGCTGCTCCTGTGACACCAGCCTTTGGCCATTGGACGCCGTTGTGGATGGTCCGACCGGTTTAAATGGAAAGCCAAACCTGCGCGTATGCTGCTTGTAACAGTGTTGAAATTTCTGCCGTCAGACAGCTGGAAGGTGTCAACTCTGTCAGTCCATTCTGATCCATTTATTTAAACAGTGCTGTGAGCTTAAGCGAGGTCATTATAGCAGCTCACCAATGGTGTTTCCAAGAAAGTAGCTGCAGTGGATCATAAATGTTTAACAAGGGAAAAGCCTGCACTTTTGTCAACTGACCAGTCGCTGACAGAGTTGACAAATGTAGAACTCCAGTTATGTTTTTGAGGAGGTAGGATTTTAACATGGCTTAAAGCTCACAAGAATCCTTTTTGTCTAATATAGGACCTTAAACTTAAACATCAGATGATTGTATTTTGATGTGAATATGAACATAGTTCATGAGTCACTGGTCCACATCAGACCTGAGTTCTTCCAGTGCTACTTTAGAAGAAATTTGATCTGATATGATCCAGTTTAATTAACCCTTTAGGTACACATATACTCCTCATGAATACCAGGTTATTGTGCCAAATACTTAACTTGCTTTGTGCTAACACATGGTTTTAAATATTTTAAGTATGTGTTTTGCCCAAATATACTCAAATACATAAATGACTGATCACTGTGGCTTGTCTGGTCAGTACCAGGAGGTGGTCACTGCTTTGACATTTTCTAAAGCACCTGGAGGAGTTTTTAAACATGCAAAGTATATTTATGGGTATTTGTTAGTGGACTAGCTCATTGTTTTAATTGTTGTCATATATCTTTAAATAATGACAAGGAGATGAGGTAAGTTAATTCTGTTTAATGTAATGAAGTACCAGGACTAGGGTGGTGTCCATGGTCACCTGTCTGTTCAGGGGAACATTTTAAACAGGCGAGGGACATCTCCTCTTCATCAGAGGTCTTTCTTTTCTTCTGAGATGGACCAAAAAAGGCAGCCTTGACTGAAATGAAGAAAAACACAGTTAGAGACAAAAACTCAATACAAACATGTGAGTCTTTGTATAATGATTAGCTGTGTTAGGAAAGAGCTTTGATAAACTGATCTGATTTGATTGCTGGGCGTGTCCTGCAGTCCTGAAGCACATATTGAAGAGATGAATCAAAGGCAAATGTTAGTCCACATTGGTTCTCAGTAAATGAATCATAAAATATGTGAAATAGGTCATACTTCTATATTTAATGGTTTCTCCTGAAACTGACTGACCAGGACGCAAAACACTGAGAACAGTATCAGTGACCTGTGCTTGTTCCTGATATTTGGCCTGTTCAGATGGAGGCATCTTGTTCCACTAGAAAATAAAGAAGAGAAGTTTAAAGCTTGCATTGCATTTGTTCAGAGCCATTAAAAGTAGGCTGATTATTAGAGTAAACCTACTCTGTGTTTGAGAACAGCAGAGATCACAGCAGAGTCTTTGGTGTTGAGCTCTCTCTTGACTTGAAACCACATCTCATCTTTAAACAGAGACATAGCGGTCAGTGGTTCTTTCAGGGGAGCAGAGACCTCTGCTGTGACCTGATCCTCCACCATTTTGTGTTTTCTGGAGGCCTTACCAGAGCCTTTGGTCTCTGGGTTTTGAGACTTGGTCACTCTGGAGTCCCTTTTCCCAGACTTTGTTTCACTAGAAGCTTTAGTGGAGTTCTTAGGCACAGGCAGAGCCGGCGCACCAGCTACAGGATGTGGAGCCATTATCACATGATAACGGCCATTGTCCACTGCCTGGTGGTGCACTGCTGAACCCTGTAGTTGAACTACCACAGGGTGACTGTACTGTTTATGTGTCATAGTTGAAGCAAAAGGCAATTTCATGTTTTTGTATATAAATTACCCTTGGTGAAATTAACATGTGCATTTGTTGACTACTGCAGACGATAAAACATGGATTTAATCTTCTATTCATATTATGTCTTTTTGCTTTATGTCACTGTTTTACTGTTTTGCACAGTTTTTTATTGGTGAGACTCTTTTGCACTTCACTTCCAGTGTTTTAGCCCTCTTCTGATGACAGAGGCTAAGATAACAAGGGCTGAGTTGGCAGTGTCCTTGGCACAACAGCAGAATTTCTCTATCAATGACATCATCTCAATATTTTCATGGGGAGACTCCCAAATATTGCCCCTCCCTCTCTGAGATTAGTTGTTCCTGTGGTATTTTTTCCCCATTTTCTTGCACCTCAAATAAGAGAAGTTTTGCACTTAAACTATTAAATGTTAGATTTCAGTGATTCTTGAGCAGGGTCTCAAACTCAAATTACCCGGGGGCCACATTAGATAAAGTCTGAGTGAGGCTGGGCCGCATTGAGTATTCGATAAATAGCGGTTGCACGGGAAAAAAGGAGAGAGAAAGAACAACACGCAACACACTTTCTTAATCTTTAATAACAGTTCAGAACATGAAAATGTATTCAGAATGTAAGTTTAAACTAATACGTCTACTCTTCTTCTTTTGCCTACTCCTTGCTGGTTGGAACCTGGCTACGATTCATCTTGTACAGCTGAGAGATATTTGGCTTGCAGGAGGAAGCAGATCCTTAGGATAGATTGAAGATGCTCATCAGTGAGCCTTGACCTGTATTAGGTCGTTTTCACACCGACAGTATTTGGTGCGCACCAAACGATCCATTCAAACCAGAAGTGGTTAGTTCGGTTCGTTTGCGTTGGTGTGAAAATGTCAATCGGACTCTGACCCGGACCAACTCAAGTGGACCGAGACCTCAAAAAAGAGGTGGTCTCGGTTCGCTTGAATCCACACCAAATGACCAACTTTGGTGCGGTTCTTCTGGTGTGAACGCGAACCCGGGTCCAAACCACAGACAGCAGGTCCAAACGAACTATTCTAGATGCATCATGGGAGAAACGCGTCTCCTGCCTGTAATGACTCGCTGTACGACTCCAGCGCAGTAACAGATTGTTGTTAGACGCAGCCGCGACTCATTTTCGAAATATTTTACCAACAATGGCCAATACAGAGAATGTAACACACGAAGATCAGAGCAAGAACGTGCGAACGTGTGGCTCCAGAGTGAGTCAAAAATGGGGGTGTGTACTTCTGTTCAGGACCTGCACAGAGGTCCCCGTGTTCCCCGTGATCATGTAGGAACCAGCATTTGTTATTTTAGGCTTTAATTAACCAAATAATTTCATGGCAATGGGCAATCGCCCATTCAATTGATTCACCTTTAAAAAATGTCCTGCTTTTAGCCTAGTGTGAGAAATACAGTCGGACTCGATCCAAACCGGAGTCCCGAACCAGCAGGAGCAGCTCCGGTTCTGTCCGGGCTCAGATGACGTGGAGCGGGGAGTGAAAAGCGCTTTTCCCGGGAAGAACCAAATGCGGACACCAACTAAACTGGATTCACGTTCTGTCCGGATGCTTTGCACCACCTCGGAACCAGCCGCGGTTTTGAGCGCAGAGGACAGGAGCAGCACAGACCTGTAGGTGTAGTCCACAGCGCATTCTCACTTTCCCCGCACGGAACACGAACACGGAACCAGCGCGCAGACGGCGGAACGTACCCGCTCAGACCCAGTCATTGCGCACTGGTCTTGCTCGCCACCGTCTGGAACCAGCACATGGAGGATGGAGCCTCCGGACCATCTGACCAACGCGCTTTAGGACGACAGAAGACCAAGGACCAGACCCCAGCGCTGTCGTGAGGAGCTGCGCGCTACTGTGAACGCTGTTGGCTGCTGCTGTTACCCGAACTCAGAACTGATGCGGTGAGTTTGTAGAAAGTTCTACGTTGCTGTTTTATGAGTTCATGGTGATAAGATGAGGACGACCAGCGGTATTAACAGGGAACATCAGTATTGGTTACTGGAGATATCACTGTTCTACCGGGATACAGAGGCTCGTTAATTGGACCAGTTTTGGTTCGTTTGCCGGTGTGAAGCGCCACACTGGAGTGTATCTGCTTCTCGTATGTCAGACATGGATGGAATACGCTTATTTTTGCCTCGTAGTTTTTGCTAACATGTCGCCAAGCCTCTGGACTAGATCACTGCAGTTTTGTGGCGCCTGCATATTGATGGGACAGCTGTGTTTGCCGCTGAGTGTGCGTGGATTTCGGCGATGCACAGGTGGAGTTTGGTCATCGTGTTGCCAGCAAGTTACGCACCGAGTGTTGAACAGGTAAACAGACTGTCAATGTCTTTTTATTTCTTATTAGCTCCTCCAATAAAGGTCCCATACTTATGAACAGGAGGATTCTGTCAGCGCCTCCTCTGCTCTGATACTGTGGTTGTGGGAGCGTAAAGTGAAGTGCACACGTGTACCACCATGTGTGGTTTGTTTTGGTTCTTCGGTGACGCCGTATGTGCACGTGTATGTGCACGTGTACTCGTATTAACAGATCCACTTAGACTCGTTGCTTCACAACTGCTGTAAATTGAGTTTTGGGATGTAAACTGCGTTAATAATCTGTTGTGAATCTGCACGGGCACCGATTGCAGCTTCATCTGTCAGTGCGGCCCGCGGTAAGGGTGGGATTGTGCGTACATTACCGCGGGCCGAATTATTCTTTGGAATCAAGTGGAGGGCCGCAAAAAATCCTTCCGCGGGCCGCAGTTGGCCCCCGGGCCGCGAGTCTGAGACCCCTGTTCTTGAGAGTCAGGACAAAGCAGGTCCTCCAAAACACAGCAACTCATAGAAAAAAATGTAATTTATTAAAATTAAATTATCATAATTGGCATAATAATAAAGTTAGATCTAAGGGAGATCTATATACTGTTGCTATTCATTTGAAAATATTTTGGATGTTTTTTAACATTTTTGACATAAACGTAAATGCAAATTTTGAAGTCAATGTGTTTTGTGTCCTCCGCCAGGGTTCAGAGATTTCAACTCAAAATTTTTTAAAAATGATTAATGTGAACAGAACTGCATTAAATTATATCAAAAGGTTTTATACATTTTAAATATCTAAAGAATACCTATGGTAAACTTGTGAAAAAAATAAATAAAATCTTCATAATGCAGCTCTTCAAAATAGTGTCCCAACTTTTTGTCAACTCAGACATTTTGAAAAACCTTATTAAATCAGGCTTGTGACTGTGATTTCATGTGAGACTTGTTTAACAGCACAAATCATCTCACCTGTCGTAGTTCAAGCTAGGTCAGTTCTTTCTAGACAGACTGGGTTAAAATAAAGCTCTAACTTGAGCAACAAAGCATCAGACAAAGCACTGCATGCAGCTTGTTTCACACCGCCAGGGAATATTGATGACATCAGCCACAAAGTATCAATTACTGACATTTTAATCAAAGTTAGATCTAATTGTTTTAGATTGACAATGATCAACTTGGTGCTTTTTAATCAAGAGTCAGTTTGTTGTGGCCCTGATACAAAGTCTGTCTTGTTTATTTTCATTATAAAAATGTCAGGCCTACTTTCAATTCAGCCTACCTTTCTAAAATCATTTTCAAGCATTCTCGCACAGATATTACCCATTTAAATTTTATTAGAAAACTGATCATCTGTACAAAATATGAGGTAACCCAACAAAACTCTTAGTCCCAAAAGTTTACAAAAATACATTTACAGTCAGTTCTTTATAATCCCGAGGGCAAACAGGTGTGCTGTAATAGAAAGCCATTAAACTACATGCAGTCACTTAACATGAAGCAGGCACCTGAGATTCAAACACAATACAAGTCTATACGGGTGTATTAGGAGCAATTATTCCCATTGAAAACACAGCAAAGTGATCCCAATCCTATGAAAAGGGAAAAGCTATTTGTCTGTGAATTTAAAGATGTGTAACTAGCCTGAGGCAAAACCAACAAATTCACAATATGCAAAAGATGCAAACAGATTAGGCAAAAGTTAACAGCTGCCAAGTACCAAAGATTACCATGTTGATTTTCAATGGGGTGATAAAAGGTGTAAATTAAAGTGGGACAGTGTTCAAATGTATGTCTTAACTTCACCCCACTGTCGAGTGTAATGGTCAAAAACTATCCTGTCTCATTTCAAAATGAACTCAAATTCAAGTTGAATAAAATGAGGGAATATTCAAAAATGTAGTTTTAAAGGTTTGACATTTTTCAGCGCAGAATTCAGTGCATTTTCAAATTAAACAGAAATTCATGTACTGTTATAAAAGATTAAATAAAAAAGATATTTCCAGCTCAGCTCTCCAAAAAATTTAAGATAATACTTGCATTACCTAAACATTGGCTTCCACTATCATCCATAACTCATTTATAATCACCAACATAACCAGGGAAATTATATGATGATAAGCCTCCATCGTTTCAATATAAAAGCAGAACAAACTCAAACTTTCTAAAGAAGACCTATTGGGTCTGCTATACAGTTATAATCTATGACAGCCGTGGATCATTATGTTATCATTTTCACATTTTTAATTCAATATTTATCTAAAATGACTTAATAAAAGAAACATGTTTACTGACTTTCACATTCGAAAACTGCAGTGTCCAATGGGAGCTGACTCATCACAACAAAGAGCCTTGGAGCTGTTGGCACATCTGATGAATAGCTGCACCTTTTTCATTTGTACAAAAAATGACTAAGTAACGCTGCCAAATACTACGTGTATCACCGATTAAGAAAATTAAATTGGAGAATGACGCAAGTACAGAGCAGTGGGCGTAAACCAGTGGCAGTGAAAACGGGAATTGATCTGCAAAATGGTGTCTTGGAAATAAGCCAGTAAAGATTGATAGGTCTGCTAAACAAGAAAATCAGCATCTGAAAATTCCTCTTTCACCATAAATTGAAAAAGTATGTATCATTTAGTTATAAGAGTTTAAATAAAGTTTGAGGTTATTTCCGCAGCGTTAACATGGCGTTGACGTCCCACAACAGGTTCCTCATCTGGTCCATCAGAATCTTCATCTCCTGGTTTTTCTGACGCACTTTCTGCAACAGACAAGAAGAAGCAATCACTATAACTGCCTGATTAGTCTGATTATAGAGCATACATGTGCAAGCATATGTGAACAAATGAGAGAACTGTGGAAAAGTGAAAATAATTTGGACTGACTGATAAAGATTATGAAATGCACAAAGTATGTTACAGGCAAAGTAGGCAGGCAGTTTTAATGACTTTGTTTTGGTAGATTTATCCCACTTCATGTCACACACAGCTATCTCATTAGTCAGTTTTTAGCAGCATTCAAGTATTTCATGTATTGTTTTAATGGGATAACCAAAAACAAGATAATATAAAAATTAAAATAAACCTGTTGGTTCATAGGGCCTACAAAGACAGTTTGTTAGCATAGTTGGACTGAGACAAGATCTCATGCCACAAATTCATGCGAGACTAAATTGCCACAAGACTGAGCACACTTGAGAAAAGCTTGTGAGATTTTTTTCCCATGTGTTTACATTTGGATTGGACAAAAAGGGGTTAAGTGGTGGCAAATTATATTTCTTGAGAACCTTTAGCTGTGCAAAAAGCTGTGCTACAATGACAGAAAAATATTAAATAAGATAAATAAAAGTGAAGCCAGACTTTACCCGTAGAATCTATTTACTCTAAATAATGAAAATTATGGAAAAAAATCTTGTCCTTGTAGTTGCCACTTTGAAAACTATTTGATCAAATTGGTTTAATTTTTTTTTTAACAGCAACTGAGCCACGTGTAAGTTAAAACATACCCTAGCTTGACTGCATGGCTTCATTAGACCCCGCCCAAAAAATCATAGACCAAACCATTATTTACAGCACAGGACAATACAATAAAGGACAAAAAAACATCTTATTAACCTATTACTTGCTATTATAAAATGGGACACACAAAAAATTGTGAAGAACTACAAATTGCGGTGAACAGGTACAAGTTTGCCTCAGACTCTTTGGCCTGGGGTGCAGACTCTCACCTCTTTGCTCTCGGCTGCCCTACGGCTATTTCTAAACTTGCCTGAGATCTCCTGCCCAGCGGGACTTTCTCTGCAAAGTGAACCAAAACGATACGAAAGAAATGCTAGACATAAGTCCCAGCATTGAAGCGCCAAGAGGTGTGACGATACTGCCCCCTACTGGAGATGGACGGGGAAGTAAGCATAAGATGTAATGCAAGAATACAAAACAACAAACAGCAAACATAAAGGCTTTCATTACTGCTGCTTAGTCCAATTTGTAAGTGGTGGTAGTTTGTGGTATAAGAATTAGCTTGGAGGGACTACAGTCAAATTCAACTCAAGCAAGATGGCAGAAATTATCAAGGCTACTCAAAATTTTTGCTTTACATTGCATATTTATATTACTGGGCGTACAAATACAAGAATATGTTAAATTAGTTTATTATAAAAGCAAACAAGCTTTATACCAATAGATATTTCAGACGAGATTTTCATGGCATTAAATTTTATTCATCTTGCATTTATTCAATTACAGGCGTTCTTCTTGCAAAAAATATCTGGATAAAAATAAATTCTCTCTATATAAGTGTAATGCTATACTGTGCAATATTCCAAGCAAAGTCGACAAGAGGACAAGCAGTTGGTAGACCCCCCACCAGAAGTAGCAGGTGTGATGAGGGTATATACACACAGTTAGGTCAACAGACATTTTTGTTCTTCTGATAATTAGGGGTTTTAACAGTACAGCAAAAGCACAAACCTCCATCACTTCTTTCCGTTCTTGGATAATGGCCGGATTACAGGGCTCGACTTTGGCGGACAGCAGTTCTTCTCCGACATATGGAACAAGCTGAAGATTTAACACAAACAAAGTGTCAATATTTCCAAACACAATGGCAGCATCTGACTTTTTCAATGTATTTGAGCTTTTTTCACTCCAGTCCAGCTATATTGTTTAAGCAGGTCTTTAGGTCAAAATAAATCTGCTGTGTCCTTTCTGCATCTAATTATAACATATTTTACTCTCTGAGAATCAGGAAGTGTCCAAACTCATAATCCACCACAATGAGTTAATAAGCAATTTTCACAACTTCTCAGAGATCAGAGTGAAATTTTTCTGTCATGGTAAAGCTAAAAACAACTAGCATGCTAAATACACAATTCCTGATTCTCAGTTTTATCACAGCAGCAAAACTCCGCTCTGGTCTTTGAAAGTAGTTGAAAGCACTTATAGACTCACTGTGGTGAATGATTAGGATGTCCGGAATGCATAAGGTAAGTGAGGAATAACTTTGAACCACTGGAAACTGTTTAAAATGTACCAGTTCTATTTTTCACATTTTGGAGACAGTAAAAATCAGGCACAATGCCTGAGAAACTGTGTGTATACAAGGTGTGAGTCCTGACCTCTGCTGGCGCCTCCTGCAGGTCAGAGGTCATCTCTACACAGCGCTCGTACAACAGCCTAAGTTTTTTGAAGAGGAGAGCCAGCTGTCTCAGATGCTCCTGCAGTTTTCCAAAGCGGTCCTGGTACATGGCCTGGCTCTGGGTCACTCCATTGGGAAGCTGCAGCAAACACATAAAATTATGGACTGGGATTTAGAAGCAAAGAGGGAAAAATGAAGTACAGGATTTCGAAGTTAGTGGTTGTATTAGAAGGGTTGTCAAAAAATGTACACTCAGAGATAATAAAACTTATTAAAACTAAATACTCTTTCTCCAGCCATCCGTCCATTTTATTCCGCTTGTCTGGGGCCTGGTCGTGGGGGTAGCAGTTTAAGTAGGGACTCCCAGTAGGGACTTCCTTCACCCTGGACACTTCCTCCAGCTCCTCTGGGGTCAACTGAGAGTTACTTAAAGCCTGTCCTGGGTCTTCCCCAGGGCCTCCTTCTGGTGGGACATGCCCAGAGCCACCTCAGCTGGCTCCTCTCGACATGGAGGAGCAGCAGTTCTACTCCAAGCTCCTCCTGTGTGACTGAGCTCCTCATCTCTAAGGGAGCACCCATCCACCCAGCCGTCTATTTTGTGTTTATAATAGACGGAACCCAAAATATCAATGTGGCATTAGTCTATTAGTCATCAGCCAATCAGAAAGAACTGACTTGGCTGGAAGTACAACAACCGAGCTGATTTTTATTCTTAAATGTCTCTCACACATAAAATTACAGTCACAGACTAGCTAGCCAGCATCAGCCAACAGTTTCTTAGTTAGTCTCTCTCACCTTTATCTCACCTGAAAATCAAAACAATTACTGTTTTAAGAATACACTTCATGACAGGACAAAAGCTAATTTACATGTGAAAGGGTTTGGTTCATTTCAGGTCTGTTAATGGATAAAGTTAACTTTCCTTAATTTGTAAAAAGTTCCAAAACACCTCTTCATCCTAATGAGTTATGACAAGGTGTAAAGTAACACTGCAAGTGAGACAATTAGACAGTGGAGCAGTGTGGAGAGAGGAGAGAGAAAGAGAGTGGAGCTGACAGCTGAAGCACAGATTGGACAAATGAAACCAGACAGAGGCCAGAGCAGAGCTGTTAGTGTCCACACATGTCTGCACAGGAGTCAGCAGGTTTGCAAACTCAGAATTTACAATTGTAATTACATTATTCCAGATGATAATGAAGAGTGACTGTGTAAAGCTATACATCAAACACAAGGTGAGAGGCATACTAATACAGGTGCATTGACTACATTGTTACAGTTGTTGTTTTTTTTAGGAAATATGAATTACATTGTAAACAACAAACTACGAGTTTAATTAACATTCTTTTGACTAATGTATTTTTCATCACCTATTTTGCACTGCTGTTAGTTAATAATGGTTCCTTTTAGATGATACTAGAACAACTACAAGTCACGAACAGGGCCTTTAATGCATCTGGATGTTTTAAATAAGCAGAGTGTACTAAAAAAAAAAGCAATGAATCAATACGAGATTTATACTAAACTTGCCCCAGATACAAGGGATGTCACATGAGGTCATCCTGAGTCTACAGTTTTTACACGTTCCTTTTAACATTTTGCTGTTTTGTTTGACAACTTTCCGTAGATCCTGTTTCTGATCTTATTTCTTTGTTAGGCTACATTTAAAATGTTGAATAAGCTTCACACCCCTTTCAGCATCATCATTGACCACTTTCCTGGAATGCACAATTTTAGCAGCCTTCTGAAAGTGCTTCATCAGCCCAGTCTGCCGGGGGAATTGCTAAAAATGTTTTTGGCAGATCAAGAGCTTAGAAGAAACTGGTGGTGACAAAATCACTGATCTGCTTCCCTTCATAATCTGCGTGATTAAGGGCACATCACTTTGGTGAAAACCTCTGAACCTTGTATTGTGAGCCATCAGCTTCTTCTGTTCTTCTATCTTAGTAGAGTCGAAGAATGCCAGGCCCACCATTTCTTCACTCAAGTAACAAAGATGTCTGCCGAAAGCTGTTAAGGCTGCTTCCCTGACAACTGAATTTTCATACTGTGACAGCTTCTTAAGGAACACCAAATCATTTGCAGGAGCTTTAAAACTTCATGCAACTTGAGCAACCTCAAAAACATCTCCTTTTTCTTCCAAAGATGATTTAGGAAGAACCCAAATCATCTTTTGGATGCTAAAACCTAAAGCTGGGTTCTAATCGAGGCTGTCTGAAATTTTATTTTTTACCATGCTTTGATGAACCACCCTAATCTCCCCAACATATTTTGGAGTGTGATATATTGCTTAATCAAATATAGATGATAAACAATAATATACGAACCAAACAATGGAGCACAATTATGCCAAAACTATTCTAAATGTACAAAAATATTAACTATATATAAACAAATAGGAGAAGTTATTTATACAGCTCAAATCTCATCATAGTGCAGAAAAATAAAGTTCCCCACTATTACAAAGAAAATGTCTCCACAATAAATATTGATCCATCTATCATACACTGAACAATAAGTAGTTATTATTGTGATAAGCCTCACTGTACCTGTGTGGCTCGTGAGAGCTGAAATATTTCCATAGTCCGGGTGACAATGTCCTGGACCGTCTCTTGTCCAATGCGACAGAGGAATACAGGGGAAAACTCCCTCATGGCGCCAGGCTGAGGCTGCTGTCCCGGGGCAGCTGTGGCTCCAGGGGGCAAGTGCTGTGGCTGAGGGGGCATTCCAGGCAGACCCGGCTTTGGAGGTAATGGAGCCGCCATTACTGGGGAGAGCAGGGGTACAATAATACAGTATGTTTAAATAAAGTAAAGCAAAGACATGGGATTTATTGGGGTGGGCAGTAGTAAATGAGTAGTTACATCAATCAATGTTTCCCTCAGGTTTTACTAAGCCTATGATTGTACATGTGATCCATATTTTAATAATTTTATTTAATATGATTTTTGGAATACTTATTACATATATTGGTCAAAAAACACAAAATACAGAATAAATATATTAAGTTGTATATGTTTTAACAATACCACAAGCATTAAGTATTGTTTTGTTCAGATTATTATTTAGATTATGGGGGCCACCATAGTCTCGAAATGGGAAACCCTGCAACAAAACTTGAGAAACCTTTCAATACTTCTTTCATACTTTACTTGTTACTTGATTAATATATTTCATAGTGTATTATTATTCTTATTCTTACTTGAGTAACGGTATATGTTACACTCTGGCCTTCTGACAGAAGGTTACTTCAAATTATAAATCAGATTTATAATTTCAGAACATTTACACTTTCCTGAGTTGCATTTAACTCAAATACTTTTTTCCTCTTATTTTGCTCTTTCTTGAGTAAAATTTTTAGTTACTTATCCATAAAAACACTGTAAATGTTGAAATTTAAGATTCAGGGTCATCTAGTAACCATTTATTAAGCAATACATATGGCACAATGCTATTGACTTAAAGGTGCATTGTGTAACTTTTCAGGTGGAGGGTCCGCCAAATGCTTTTCTCCATATTATTATTATTGTCTTGTCTGGAATGTTTCACAGTATGGTATTAAACCTTTCTATCTTCATGAAGACCAGACCAAGTTACTGGTCAGATCTGTGGAGAGGAAAAAACGCTCACAGTCACAACGCCTGTTTAGTATTTTTGAGCCATAAAACGACCTGTAATTGGTGTAAGGTAGAGTTGTTTAATGTCATACTCTGGAACATTTCAGGCAATGACGTATCCACAGAAACAAGGAGGTGACTGAACTCCACCAGAAAAGTTAGAGAGTGCATCTATAGGCTATGATTTTGATACAACACACAAGTCATCAATTAAATAAAAAAGGCAATGCAAAAGTCTCATATGTCCAAATTTCAGCTAAAAGAAGTGCAAAGAAGTCAGGTTGTTCTAAGGAGCTAAAGACGCTAGCGCCCAAAACAAAGGAGAGTCCAATGAATGAAGAGGCTAAGCACCTGAAGCTAATCAGCTAGCACGACAAACGACACGTGCCTCACCTTATTAAATGAAATCTCTTTAAATTGGACCTGTCCCGCTTTGAAGTGGCCCAAAACTGGCGTTATTTCAAAGTATCACGTTAAAGAAGACATCATGAACATTTTCAATGAAGCAGCGCCAGCATGAGCGCCAGTAGTGTTTTGTTGCGTCACTTCCTCTTCCTCCGCGCAATGCATGTCGCCGCCAGATGGCGCCATTACAGTTGCACAGCCTATGTTTATAATCTATTGTTATTTTTAATAGATTCATGTTTACAGTCCTTATTTTTCTAATTGTCTTTATTTTATTTTACATCATTACATTGACATAAATACTTAAAGGCAATGAACCATTTCATTACCAACAGAAACACCAGAGCGGAGTAAGAACGAGGCCATTCCTGTTGTGATGTGTTGTGTGATGCCTGTTGCCTCTTCAACTGCCCTGACACAGATCTGCTGACCCTACTTGACCAATTCTCCTGTTAAACTGCACTGAGACCTTTGACTGAGACACCAAGGTGATTGAGAAGCACAGTGTTAAATTTCCCTTGGGGTCAATGAAGTATCTCACTCTTCCATTCACTGTAGCCTTTTCACACACTGGCAAGGCATAGTGACGCATTTGTCCCTCCAAACCCGAATGAATTAGTGAGTGCCACCCTCCTGCCCTCTGGCCTCCATGGTTGTGCAGCGCAGGGGACGTAGTTCAGGTCAAACTCTGGCTCAGTGCGATCCAGGTTGAGGGTGGGTGGTAAAATGCCATGGTAACAGGCCAGAGCAGTAAAGGCTGCCTCCAGGGCCCCAGCTGCTCCCAGGAGGTGCCCCGTGGCCCCCTTGGTGGAGGACACGGCAAGGCTGAGAGCGTGCTGAGAGAAGAGCCTCTTGATAGCGGCATTCTCAGCGGCGTCTCCCAGAGGTGTGGAGGTGGCATGGGCATTGACATAGCTGACCTCTGCGGGAGAGGTGGAGGCATCTTTCAAAGCAGCCGACATACATCTGGAACATGGTCAAAACGCAACAGAGAAGTTATATACAGAACAGGACAGACAATCTAAATTGTGTAAAAATAGGATCCACACATTTTTCTGTATAATCCTGTGGTTTAAAGGTGTTTCACCTGACAACAAGCATGCCTATGTCAGGATAATGTCACTGCTGTTTTGATACTAAGATTTTTAAAATATATTTTAGTTCATTTTGCTGACAGAAGAAAAAAGTATGCCAGTTTTTATCTCGTGTATAGGTCCAGTATTTATATACAGAACAATCAAAGTGAAATCTAGTTAAAACAGCTGCATTTTAAGAGATAAAAGGCAAATTCTACCAGAATACCAACCTATGAAAATGATTAAAGGAGAGGGACATATAGATTTGACTTTGTTACTAGTGTTTCCTCATCATTTAATTACTCAAATTTTTATTTCGTTTGATTCATGAATGTTTGAGTAATCCTGTGTTGTCCTGCTTGAGTGATCAGAAAATTAGTTTTTCCACCTACCCCCTATTTCTGCCCCCAAAACTCATAAAGTCTTCTTTAACTTACCTAAACGCTCCATCTCCATCTGCGCTGGGTGCTGTTATGTGCGAGGCATCCCCTGACAGCCCGTACCCCAGCACCTCTGCGTATATCCGGGCTTGTCTCCTCACTGCATGCTCCATCTCTTCCAGCACCAATATGGCTGCACCTTCACCCATCACAAAACCTTCTCTCTCTGGGTGAAAAGGGCGGGATGACATCTTTGGTTCATGGTTCCATTTGGTCGCTAGTGCCCTGGCTCTTGCAAACCCGGCTATGGACAGCGGGCACACACAAGACTCTGTGCCCCCCGTTAACATGGCAACCGCATCTCCATGTGCTATGAACCTGGCAGCATCCCCAATTGCATGGGCTCCCGTTGTGCAAGCTGTTGACACTGCATGATTTGGGCCTTTAAGTTTGTGTTTTATACTAATATGTCCGGCTGCCATGTTTACCAAGATCCGTGGCACAAAGAAGGGGCTGACTTTGTTATATCCTTTATCATAGAAGGCAGAAGAAGTGCGAGCAATCTCTTCCAGTGACACCATCCCCATACCTACAGCCACCCCAGTGTTCAATTGATCCTCCTCACTGGCAGGGCACCAACCAGAATCCTCCAGTGCAAGCTGCGCAGCCCCAAGTGCCATCACACTAGCAGTGGACATGCTACTGATCTCCCCACGAGAGGCAAACATCTCCTCCTTGAATTGACCCTCTTCAGTACCCCTAGGAACCAGGGCAGCCACTTTACAAGGGACTTTCTTGTACTTTTCTGGGTCCAATGCGACAATCCCACTGTGGCCCTGGATAAGACGAGTCCACGGATAGGTTGTCCCAGTGCCTAGTGGACAAACCAAGCCTATTCCAGTCACCACAACGCGTCTTCTGTGCGTCCCTGAACTGCAGCATCTCAACTGTTCTTGAAAGCATGTATCATTTTGGAAAATAGTCTTCAGTCTGTGTGATCTAAGTTGAATCTTGCTCAAAAATACTGGTAAAGACGACATACTCATGGATGACACGTTGTTAATCTTTAGCGGGTGTCTTTAGTGATTAACAGTCAACATAAAATCGTTTTATGATCAATGTTATAGAAGAATACCTGAACCTGAATATCCATGCTGTCAAATTTAGGGTTGTCCTGAACGGTTTTAGGTCATCTTGTTGAACGCCTTAACCAAAATACTTGTTCAACTTATTACAAATGATCAAATAATAAAATTAGATAATTTATTGATGTAAATTATGATATGATGTAGATAGAATATTTTAAAACGTCAAAAATCTATCGTAAATGCCACTTATATGTTATATTTGTTCAGGCGAGCATTGGTCAGCTATCTGTAGTAAGCCCCAAACATTACACTGCTCTTTTGCTTCATGCTACTCCCCTCTCCAAGTGAAACTAAATAACCATTCAATAATCATAATTTTAGCCAATTAAAAGTCCACGATGGGTTTGTCTCCTGCCGTGACAACTCTGTGTGAGAATCCTAATGAAGTTTTTATGGATGTCGCCAAATTGTTGCTCACATACGCGGACAATATTCTAAGGTAAGTTAAGATGCTAAAACTATGTGCATCTTTCAGGCATTTTAAGTTAAATTAAGTTAAATTAAGTTAAATGCATTGATCGCATTAACGTTACATTTGATTGCAAATGCTAATCGGTGTCCATGTTGTGCAAGCAAATGTAAGCAAATCTGTTTTGTGATTAGTAAGCATCTGTTCAGCTATTAGCATTAATATTATTCAGATTTTCTTATCTTCCGCATTCGTTGCACCACAATCAGTTATAACCCAGCTAATGTTGACGACTCACTAAAACAGAGATACAGAGAGGCCTGCACCTTTTTTTGTTTGTTTTAAATTAACTCCAGGACCTCTAATTATGTAGTGGTGCATAATGTCTGGCACCACTACATAATATTTGCATTTAGATATAACTTGTGTGTTTTTTTTTTTTCTTTTATTGAGGAACCCGAATGAAGAGAAGTACAGATCCATCCGTATTGGCAATCCTACTTTTTCTACCAAACTTCTGCCAGTCAAAGGAGCAGTAGAATGTTTATTTGAAATGGGATTTGAAGAGGTACCATAATGCATTGCTTAACTTCAATATACATTGCCTAGTAGTTTCTTGTACTACTTGTAATTCTCTGTCTTCCCAGGCTGAGACCCACTTGGTGTTTCCCAAGACAGCCTCTGTAGAGCAGCTCAGGGTAATCCGGGAGTCCATAGCCGCAGAGAGGGACCAGAGGCTGCGTGGAAGTCAGCCAACCGCTCAGGCACAGGGTGGGGCGTGTGCTTCAGCCCCACCAAGCTCTCCAGGGACGAGTCAGCCTGCAACACCAGTCCAACAACCACCAACTTTGGTATAAAAAAAAAAAATGTTGAGCTTGTTCTATTCATTGTAAAGTGCTGGTTTAGTCCCATTTCCCAATTTTGAAGTGGTGTTTAAATGTATATAGGTGTGAATACTTAATATTCACCTCACTTTTTTTAAAACTTATTTTATGTGGAATTCTTCCTTTCACTGTAGCAGTGCTTTTGGAACCCAAAGTTACAAAAGCATTTTTTTGTCCAAACCAATGTAAATGCATGGGAGAAAAAATCTCAAAAGATCATTGTGCACAAACTTGTGGCAGTTTTCTCTTGTGAGATCTTGTAACACAGGATGTAACATAAAATGTAACACAAAATCTAGTTTCATCCCTAATTACTAATTAATTATAAAAAGTAAAAGTTTCCTCAGTACATAAACTGTTGTTTTAAATTCTACATTCGACCTGCCCTAGGTAGAACTACATAGTACTCGATTATAACTATTAGATACGTAAATACGTTTTATAATTATTTATTTGGTTATATGCTGTTTTCTCTTCTAGGAATCCAGCATGAGCTTCCTTGTGACCCTGCAGTCTAACTTTCAGCATGTGATGGTGTATGAAAACCCACAGCTTCAGCAGAAAGCCAAAAGTTGTATTCCTAATCAGCAGCTGACTTCTGCTGCTGAGAAGAAAATGAAGGAGGCCAAGGAAGCAGACCCAGGTTTTTATTAATTTATTACTCATGTTAGATAATTGGAGGGATGGGAACCTAAAGGATGCAATTGACATTTCTATATTAAGAAAAACTTAACACTTGGTCTGACATGTCATAAATAAATGTGTTTGTCCTTTAAAATATTTTCACAGGAAAAAAGTAGCAAAGTGCATCTTGCCGTTGTGCCATTAGACAAGACAGTAGGCACACCTACCTTGCCTTAGTATGAACATAGTATGACTGTAGAAACTGATTGTGCAGTTTGGCAGCCTTGCCAGCATGGGGAGTTGATGAATATTAACACTATTATTAATTATTTTTATTAATATTAATGCTTTGACTAATCATTACTACTGTTGTATTTCCTATTGACTTGACTGTGGTGGCACAAATAGATCTCTTTTTAATAATAAGATTTCATAGAATTTGTGGAGTTTAAATGTTGCTTACCTGTTTAAAATCTTAAGCAGTCAGTTTATATGTAGTTATAGTATAATAACTTTTAAAATTTATTATAATTCAATAGAGAACAAAGCACGCTTTTAGACTATGAGGGCCACTGTAGTTTCTTTTTATTATATTTTTGTGGTGGTAGAATGAACTAATTTGATCTGTAAGTATGTTTTCCTATTATCACTTTCTAATCCACAGCTCTTGAATTGTGCTTTTGTTTTGCTAGACTGTAAGCTGTCTCAGGAAGACTTTGTGGTGCTGGAGCTGCTCCGGTGGTTCAAACAGGACTTCTTTTCGTGGGTGGACTGTCTGCCCTGCAGCCGCTGTGGAGGCCAGACCCGCAACTCCGGCTCCCTCAGCCCCAGCACGGAGGACCTACGCTGGGGAGCACAGAGGGTGGAGAACCACTTCTGTCAAACGTGTCAGCTTTCCAACAGGTTTCCAAGGTTGGTCAACTAATAACTAACTAATATTATTTCCCCAGTTCCTGTTATAACAAATGTTGCTTTCCCATGTCTATGTTAATCTAACTTCATCATTAGCATTATAAACTTCATCTTGCCTCCGTAAATGTTCTTATTGGAGCAGCTCTATGTCTAACTGTAGTTTACATTTAACATTGGTTTGCCATACTTTAACCAAATGATCAGTGCCTAAAACATTTTGGTTGCCTTGTATGCCATATTTTTGTTTCATTGTTAGTTTGTTGAACTAAATAATTTGTGTGGATTGTAGGTATAACAATCCAGAGAAGCTGCTGGAAACCAGGAGGGGGCGCTGTGGAGAGTGGGCCAACTGTTTCACCCTGTGTTGCAGAGCCATGGGTCTTGAGGCCAGATATATTTGGGACAGCACAGGTACTTGCCCAATATTTAAAATGCATATTTACATAATGAACCAAGTCTAATTTTCATATCACAAAAGCCTTACAAGATGACATGTTAGATGTCATCCATGTATTTTGGAGTAACTTGGCAATCTCTCCTGGGTCCTATTCAAACCACCCTTACTGTAAGATCCTGTCCAATGCTAACCCCACAAGCCTACGTATCTAAGTTTCCACTGGACAGTTCTCCATAAATATACAATGCATGATACAAAACTGGACACAACAACTGTACACAGCAGCTTGACAGTTTCATAAGCGGTATGCATACGGATTGTGTTGTGATTTCGCTCGGAAGTGGGGAGTGACTTAGCGCAGAGAGCAAAGGGAGAGTCGAAAGTGAAACTTATTGTCAGTATGTCAATGTGTTGTTGTTTTCGGTGAATATAACATTTAAGAAAAAAATAAATGGTAACATGCTGATCTAAATATGGTATGTGTTAGTAGTTAATATCCCATAAAGTAACCCCTCTGTAAGATTTTGCTAAATTCTCACTTTGACCATTTGGCCATAATCATTAGGAGAGTTTAAATAGGACCCAGGAGAGATTGCTAAATTGCTCAAACATGCATGGATGACATCTAAAACCTCTTCAGGCATGTTTTTGATGAGAAAACAATGTTATAATATCATAGAAAGCTGAAATATTTTGCATAAAGCGTCAAAATTTTACTTAACTTTAAAAATAATTATCTTAACTGTGTTTTTGAAAAAATACATCTACTCAGTCATAGGCACTTAACACCAGCTGTTAAATGTTTTTTTTTTTTCAGATCATGTGTGGACAGAGGTGTATTCGCCCTCTCAGCGTCGTTGGCTTCACTGTGACTCCTGTGAGAATGTGTGTGATAAACCTCTTCTGTATGAGGTGGGCTGGGGGAAGAAGCTCTCCTACATTCTGGCTTTCTCCAAAGATCAGGTTAGTACTAAAACACAACTAAGATCTCATGAGCATCCAATCAAATACTGAACTATGCCTCGTGCAGGTAGTGGATGTGACATGGAGATACTCCTGTAAACATCCTGAAGTGTTGTCACGGCGGACCAAGGTTCAGGAGGCATGGCTTCTTCACACAATTAGCAGTCTTAACAACACTGTAAGTAATTAACTGCTATCTTTAGCTTTTTGGAGGGTGTTCTACATGCATGTCTATAGTTAATTTTTTGTCAGAAAAATTTAAAAAATATACAAAATTGATTGAAACAACACATTTTGTAGAGCTTGTGATCAATAGAAGCATTCATGGTCCTGTTTAGATCTTTGAAGTTCAACAAAAAAGGTGAGAGTGTCGAACTGAAAAACCATCCTGTATCTGTAATGCTACTTGTTTAAGAGCACAGATCACCTCACCTTTAAAGTCTAACTTGAGAAACAGAGCTTCAAACAGAGCAGTGTGTACAGCTAGCATCACACCCTCAGGTAATGTTGATGACATCAACTGCAAAATAACAATTATTGTGTGTACAGATGTTAGTCCCTCACACATACAATTTACACATGATCACACTGCAGCTCTTTTATATCTATATTGATAGTAAATTGGCCTGATTTTCATACATTTTCATACATGTGTCAATATTAAATCTGTATTTGTTGTGACATGGCAGAAACAGCAGAGTCTGAGTCCACAGAGGAAGAAGGAGTTGACAGAAAGACTGCTTGTCGAGCTAGTAGAGTTCATCTCACCTAAAAAACCTAAACCTGGAGAACTGGGTGGACGCAACTCTGGGTCACTGGCATGGAGGGTAGCAAGAGGGGAAACTAAAGCACCAGATTCAGACAAGGTATGCAACTTGAGTATAACATTTGAGTCATTATCTATTATTTTATTTATAACCCATGTTTCTTCTATATTTATGTTTAAATTGGTGCTGCTTCTTTTGTTTTCTTAAAGGATACCTAATAGACTTTTTTGAGCTTTTAATCATGTTACTGTAGTTTGGCCTTCTCATTTACCCTTTCAGAGTTGCATTGTATTTGCCCATTGCTTTGCACCTATTTTATTTTCTAATTTTATTTTCCTAATCATAGATACACACAGGATTCATATTGTGTGATGTTTGTGGCAAAGTCGCTCTGTTGTTTTAGATGAATATTGTGATTCAAATGTACAAAACGTAACATATATAAACATCCATGAGTGTCATAGCCATTTTATTTATTTATTTATTTTTACTTACTTTGACATAATTATCCATTTTCCTTTTAGACCTTGGGGTTTGTGTTCACCCCAACTGACAAAGAGAAGAGTGACAGGTTGCTGCATATACGCTACAATGCCTCCACAGACCAGTACTGTCGAGTGTCCAACCACTGTGAAGTCACTCCAGGCTGGGAGCAGTGTGTGTGGCAGAGGGAGGCTGTCTTTAGGAAGGAGGAAAAAGACTGGCAGATGGTAAGTTGCAAATTTTGCTCAAGTATATGGGAAAAATCTGGTCCAGTACCATTTAAAAAACTAATTGCTAGAAAGTTTGGATTAGTAGTCACAAGCATTAAGAGTAGTTGCCATGTGACCATTGCACACAAAATATATCCATAGGTTTTCTGTTTGCCAGTCAACATCTGGGTCCTAATTTTATGTCAACTATTTGTATTTCTCAGGTGTACCTTGCTAGAACAGAAGGCTCCTCTACTGGCAAAATAACCTGGAGATTTGACTTTTCCCCAGTGGGAATGAAGATTCAATCAGTAACTGTGATGGCCAAGAGTCAGACGTTTCAGTCTGGAACTGTGTGCTGGAAGGTGCAGTCAGGACAGGCCACCACAGAATTCTCGGGAGGTAAATGATTCTATTATACCTTTTTAATAAAACCAGATCTCTCCATGACTTCCTCTTGTCTGAACATTTTAGATGGACAGACACACCCTCTCTCCAGTGTGTCTGGCTCTGCAGAGTTCAGCATTGTAGCAGAGCTCTGTGGTGGAGATGGAGATGTGGCCTGGCAGCATGCACAGCTCTTCAGACAGAGTTTAAAGGAAACTGATGAAACCTCATTTGAAATCCTGGTCCAACTTGAAACTGTCTAACATTGTCATTAGTAACTGTCCTGTGCCATTGAATATGTGATTTGTGCAATAAGTACCGTAAACAAATCTCTGTTAATTAAAAAGCCCAAAATGTATGTATTTTTGTTTTGTATCAAATCTTTATTAATGTAAACATATTAATTGAATTAGGGTGTTGTCTGCATATATTTCAGATGTATTGATTGAATTTAAATACATTCTGTCCATAAAAATGTGATGAAAGAGCTAAAAGCTCATCATATGTGGAATAATAAAGCATATTTTTACAGTCCACTGTGCCTTAGTCTTTAAATGTGCGCTGTGTTACTTTTCAGGTTAAGACCTGCTTGTCTCCATAGAGATGTTGCCAGGAATATTCCACAGTACGATATTAAACTTGCCTATCTCATTAAAGTTCTCCATTATCTCCATGGAGTCGAGCGCACACACACAAAATGATAGTTCTATCGATCGTTTTATGCATGTATGGTAATTAGTGTGACAGACCAAATTACATGTCAGATCTGTGGCGAGGTGACCCTGCTTATATTAGAAATATCACATTTAACAAGGCATTTTTGAGCCATTATAACTCTGGTAGTGAAACAGATTCAAGATAGATCAGTTTAATGCCCCATACAGGGGAACATTCATCTCAGGAACAGGCTGAGTGTGTAACAATTTATTCCATACACCTTCATTAGAATTATTTGGATGTTTTCATTCTAGGAATTGTTCATCTCTACTGAACTAAATTTAAAAGTGTATTTATTTTTTATTTATGTTTTTTAACAAAATTGATGTACATGTAAAAATAAATAAATAAATAAAACGAAATTGAGGCAGATAATATATACAAAGAAACTGAGAATCCAATTATTTTATAATATTGAGTGTTTTGATAGATTTATTGTTAGAAATACTGTTTAGTTTAGTGTTTGAAGATAATTCTTAATATCTAAGATTTGATTTTAAATAGGGGTCTGGAAGTAGAGAATTTGGTTTTATGGATATGAAACTTTCCCAACAGAATGCACAGGTTTACTAAATATTAAATTTTATATTGTTTATGTTGGAAGTGGGTCATTATGCTTGAGCAGTCCAAATGAATACTGATGGATGTTTTTTGCAGGATAAGTGTTTCTAGATTTGACCAGAGTTCCTTTGAGTATTTACCGTTTTCTTTTATTTAGTTTAAAAGAGATGGGGAATGATTTCTTCTTCACTATGGCAAAAGATGTAATATGTTTCAGTTTCATTGAATTTGGCTATAAGTAGACTTTGTGAATTATTTTCCATTGTGGTAAAAGGTAGCTGTTAACTTGAAAACTACTGCTTCATGACATCACAAGGTGGAACAGAACGTTCTGAGTTTTGGAGATGTAGACAGATGAACAAAACCAGGATTACTCAGTGTGTGATTGGAGCAAAACATAACTCCAGGTATGTTTTTGAGGACGCAATAGCATTTTAACATGGCTTAAATCTCACAAGAGCTTTGCGTAATATATCCTCTTTAATAATCGGTGGCACAGACTGTACTTTTACAGTAGACTCGTCTGCAGGCTCGGTCTATATTCCTATGCGACGCCGTGGTGTATGGCGCCATCTGGTGGTAACAACCGAAAATACAAGAGCGAATACTGTTTTTTTATTGGCCAGAGCGCCGGTGACTTGGCTTCTGATTGGCCTATTTTTCTGCAAGCCGATTCGCCGTCTATCATGCAGATGGCGGAGCCGGACAGGGGTTGCTAAAGCTAGCCAATATTAGGTTTTATTCTGAGACAAAACTATTTTACACCGGATAAACTGCTTGCAGAGCGGTTTGCCTGGTCTTACATTTTAATTTGTGTCCTTTTAATTTGTCATCGTAGCGCTGTGTTTATTTTACGTTTTGTATAGTATTTATTTCTAGCCAAGTAGCCCGGTTAGCATCTTTGTTGGAAGTTTAGGCCTTACTCTGCCTCCGCTCGTCGATTTTAACAATAGCCGTGATCTAGTCCCTCCTCTCCGGTTGTTTTGGTGCCTCTTCCTGGTTTAACTTTTGCAAAACTAGAAAAACATGGGGCAAAAGTCGGATCTGTTGAGTTTGATCATCTGAGTGCATTGTTTTCTCGGTGGATCGGAATTTTGGCTGGAATTTTGAAGACATTTCGGAAGCTCCATCACAGAAACATTAAGGACCACAAAGGAACATGTCCAACGGAGCAGGCAGCGGTGGATTGGCTTGGCTGGTAAGTTTTTTATCGATTTACAACTAATGTGTGGTTAAGAATCTTTAATTCGTTTGGATAAATTGTGGTGCTTCGGTAGGCTACAGCGGGTACACATTTGGCTGTTGGGATCCCCATTCATTCCTCCGCTGCAGAGCAAAACATTGGCCATTTAAACGCTCATGTTCCTCTTCGGGCTCCTGGACTTTTTCTTTTTCCCCTCAAACCATAAAGATCTTATCGCTCACTTATGGCGTACTAGTGTATTCTATATGTTTATTTAAGTCATCTGCGTTTTGGCATCATTTTAATTGAATATATTACTTAGTTTTACCGTGAGTATTTCTGTTAAAAGGAGCTCTACTAAATTCATTAGCATTTTAAAGGTCATTAAATGGCCACTATGGGCTCTTCCAAAACTATTGTGTTTTGAAGTTGTATTTGAAGGAGACATGCAAAAATGATCGCTGAGGAGCTTTTAACCATGTTGTAATTGCTGTTCTCTCATTAGTTTACTCAAAGTTGTGTTTCAAGTGATTCATGCATGTTTGAGTGATCCGAAAATTACTGTTTTCACTTACAGCCTATTCCCGCTCACTTCCCTGTACTTGGTTGCAATATTTGGAAAATGAAAATAGTCATACACATAAGGTTAAAAATGTCATGTAGTAGTAGTAAAATTATCTGCTTGTGTTGGGGCCTATCAACTAAATTAATTTTAAACAGGAAAATAAAAAAATGTTACTTTGTATTAAAGTATGTACATTGTAATAATATGCAACCAGCCCCCTCTGACTTTAAACTTCACTACCATATAGTACTGTAATATATATTGTGACCAAATTAATTATAATAATACAAATAATTTTCAAGCAAGACACAGTATTACTTTTACTTATGTTTAATATAAAATGAAATAACTTGATTTAACCCATCTTAATGCACGTGATACTTATTTAGCCTGAAATAGTTTGGGCAACAAGTCTCATTTATATGTTATATTCTGACAAGTTTTCAATGTATTATTTTCTGTTGAACAGGAAGCAGCCAATGGCAGAGACCCTGGTAAGATGGAGGCCCCAAAGAAGGAGAAGGGGAGCAAACTGTCTGTGGAGAGAGTGTACCAGAAGAAGACCCAACTGGAGCACATCCTCCTGCGTCCTGACACATATGTGGGCAGTGTGGAGCCTGTTACCCAGGTAAGGGCACCCACAGCCTGCTTAGAGACTCTGCACAAATATTACATAAAACCAACTCTTGTGAGCTTTAAATCTTATAAAAGTTATAATGCTGTTACCACCTCAAAAAACATTTACATTTTATTTTGCACAATTCACATGATGACCAGACCCCTCTGACCGGACAAAATGCTGGAAGCCTTCTGCTTCCTCTAGGGGGAGCTGTAAGAATTGTGTTTATTGATTTCTCTTAGCACAAAGATGAATTGTACAGTGTTACTATTAAATGAACAGTATTTCTTGTTGGTTGCACTAACAAATGTACGGTAAGGATCGTGATCTAAGTAGTTTTGTTTGTTTAATACCCTGCCACAGCTACATTCATTTGTTTTAGGCCTTGCCACATTTAGTATTTCCTATTAGTAGAGGAGACTATGGTGGCCCACCGTAAGCTAAAAACAAGCTGAGCAAAAAAATGGAAAAACATGATCTCTTGTGCTAGTAGTGTTGTCATAACAGATAAAAATGGTTACTTCTACATGGTAATCAGTGGGTTTTTTCTTTGTTTGTTTTTTTTTTTGTTTAGAGGAGGAAATAAGTGGAATTTTTACACCAAAATATTGTATTAACTAAGATGAGTCAAATATGGATTGCTTGTGAGGGAAATGCTTCACAGTATTGACAGTATTGGTCGTTATTGATCCCTATTGTAAATGTTTATAATCAAGAGGCGTGGTCAGACTTGGAGGTGAAAGGATGAAGCCAGTCCCTATTTGCATGTTAAGTGAGTTAAAGTGCGAGTCGTTTGGGAGGAGGCACCAGCTGGGAAAACTACAATCCAATCTGGCAGACGACTATTGACACTATTGTCTAGAGGCATTTTGCTAACTCGAGTTTAACATACCTGCATGTCTTTATACAGGGGCAAGGGGGCTTTGGGGGGAAATAGTCCTAATATTGAAGCTGTAGTTGAGTAAGAAAATCAACAACGACTAAAGATCTGACCCAAACTGCAGGACAACACGTCTTCAACCACAAGAGAGCTCATGCAAAAGCAATTATTCTTTTATTTAAAAAAATATATACTTGGAAACGATGTATAAAGATTAACTACTGAATCAACTTTAATGTATATAACTGTGCCTATATCATATAAATATCAAAAATAAAAGTCTTAAGCGAAACTCAATAATTTCTACATCCTGCTGTCGCATATTAAGCCTTATAATCTGCAGAAAATAATTAGTTGACTTATACACATTTTGGTCGACCAAGACACCATCAACTGATTAATCGACTAAAGGCCTACAGACCATGCAGTTACCATATGTCTATGCTAGGGCTATTTGGAAAAATATCTAACTGATTTTTCTGACAAGTTGCTATTAGATTTGCAATTTGTGTTTTAATAATGGGACACAACAATTTGTGTTTTAAAAATAGAGTTCACATTTAAACATGTGCAGAAGAACAGACAGAAATATGACAAACAAATACAGGAATCACATTTCAGAACAAATTAAAATTACAGGATTGTTGTTTGTGGAGGAACCAATGGCACTAAAAAATTACGTCCATTAAAATTGTGATTAATTTTACAGCTCCAATCTATGCTCTTGTAAAGACATTTGTGTTTTATTTTCCTTTTGCAGCAAATGTGGGTGTTCGACGAAGAAATCGGAATGAACCAGAGGGAGATCACCTACGTCCCAGGCTTGTACAAAATCTTCGATGAGATTCTGGGTGAGTGAGTGCACTGTCTTCATCTGCACTAGTGCATCCACCATTCGTCATCTGAGCTCATTGCAGTGCATTATTCTATTAGTCATGATAGCGTTATCACTATCGTGGCTCTGTCTTCACTCATATATGCCCCTCTAAAAACCACATTATTTATGTTT